AGGGGACAGATTTAACCTCATCCTCCCCACTCAAGCAATCAGGCGTGAAAGATCAGTGTGTTAACCTGTCACTGAACCTGCTCTGTTTCTCTTGCAGGCGCCATGAACACACACAGCAAAAGAAGCCTCCTCTAAATGCTGTTCTAGAATTCCCACTGGAAGAAAATGTCACTAAACCCCCTGACAGACGTGCATATTCAAATTGAAATACCAGAAGGAAAGTATCTGAAGGTCCTCCCGTCTTTCCACTGGTGTCTTTACACTAGTAGTTTTATGAAGCTAAATTTCTTAATCCTGCAAACCTTTGGGTCCTCAAAACTGCCTTCCAAGGAGATGCCACAAGCCATCACCAGAGTCTTGTAGTGCTGAATGAAGTCATACATGACAAGTGAGCGTTCCTGCTTGGGCTTCTTCTGCAGGTACAGCTGCAGATGATACAGTCTCTCTGCTACAGACAGGTTTTTGTCCAAAGGTGGTGGTGCCAAACTCATACTGATTTCTAAGGCAGGAAATACAAGAAAAAAAAAAAAAAATCACCTTTTAATCCACTGCATGATAAGAAAAGCAAAAGGAAAATCTTGAATCCAATCACCTAAAGCACAAAAAGTACAGCTGGACTGTGAACAAGTAACAATAAATCTATACCAATATTATATATTTTATCAAACCTGACAAGGCTCCCAAAAAGCAATACGCTGTGTCTGCACTACTAAACAAAGGAGAGCCAGGAGTCAAACCCTAGCCACGAGTCCACGTAGCACAGATTGGGTTATGTTTAGCATTCAAATGTCAGATTTGTTCTGCCGAGCAAAAATTGGAAGAGGATGAAATAGAAAAGCAAGCAAACTAAAGAGAACACAGCAATAAGCTAACACCTTGGCGTACGCCTGCTCAGCAGTCCAGTGCTTGAGCCCATTTACCTGGTCTTACTATATAGCACCAGAGGTGCATCCACAGCAACATGTTCAAGGGTGTTCAGTACCTAAGACTGCCGAATAATATGGTTAAATCACTCCATCACACGTCTGAGCTGGGTTTGGGACACTCAAAAGACTTCCAAGAACCTACCTGTAGAACGTGTAGCTAGTGGTGTTCCTGATAGGGGTCAGTACTGGGTCTAATCTTGTTCAACATGTTCATCAAAGACCTGGATGAGGGGACAGAGTCGACCCTCAGCAAGTTTGCTGATGATACAAAAATGGGAGGGGTGGCTGACAGACCAGAAGACACTGCTGTCATTCATGTAGACCTGGACAGGCTGGAGAGTTGGGCAGAGAGGAGCCTAAAGAATTTCACAAAGGCAAATGCAGGGTCCTGCCCCTAGGGAGGAATAACCTGCAGAGAAAGGGCCTGGGAGTCCTGGTGGACAACAATTTGACTATGAGCCAGCAATGTGCCCTTGTGACCAAGAGGGCCAATGGCTTCCTGGGGTGCATTGAGAAGAGTGTGGCCAGCAGGTCAAAAGAGGTTATGCTCACCCTTTACTCTGCCCTGATTGTGGCCACATCCAGAGTATTGTGTCCAGTTCTGGCCACCCCAGCTCAAGAAAGACAAGGAACTACTGGAGAGAGTCCAGTGGAGGGCTACAGAGATGATCAGGGGACTGGAGCATCTCTCTTATGAGGAAAGCCTGAGCGACCTGGGTCTATTTAGCCTGGAGAAGACTGAGGGGGGATCACATAAATGCTTATAGATATCTAAAGGGCAGGTCTCAAGAGGATAGGGCCAAACTCTTCTCAGTGGTGCCCAGTGATAGGACAAGAGGCAATGGGCACAAACTGAAACACAAGAAGTTCCATCTGAACACGAGGAAAAACTTCTTTACTTTGAGGGGGGCAGAGCACTGGAACAGGCTGCCCAGAGAGTGTGGAGTCTCCTTCTCTGGAGGTATTCAAAACCTGCCTGGACACGTTCCTGGGCAACCTGCTCTAGTTGAACCTGCTTTAGCAGGGGGGTTGAACTACATGACCTCCAGAGATCCCTTCTACCCCCTACCATTCTGTGATTCTGTGGATCTACTGAAGCTACTTTTCTTGAAATTCAGTGTCACGTAGCACAGCACAGCCAGTCTGCTCACTTACCAGTCTGGTCTTGTATCTGCTGCAAAGAGATATAGTAGGCATCCTTTCCACCCCAACATACTGCCAGTCCAACTACCAAGATGTCCTCACAGCCTTGGACAGGAAATCCATCATCTTCAACTTGCATCCGCTGAGGAGAAGTTACTAAAGGAATAATTTTTAAGTTACAATTATAAAATGGCATCCATAAATAAGAGTTTGGATCCTGAAAATATAAATACACATAGTTGAACCTAATTTTCTTAAAAGCCAATATATACCTTCATTTTTCCCTATAGGGAAAAAAATCTGTGTTTCTTTTGGGGAAAAAAAACCAACATGTCTAGAATAGCAAAACTTTATCTTAACAGAAGCAACCACCCTTATAGTATCCCTGCAAAACTCTGGCCTTTTCTAGCAATCTCTTCAAGAGTTGAGACAGAAACGTATGCCCTCCTTCCACTCTGAGAACATTTCACATTTGTCTGTCAAAAGTCTATTTCGATAGTTAAGAAATTTTGTTGTTGTTGTTATGGCAATATGATAGCAAAGAATCTAACTCTGCTTAATCTTGTTATTTTAAAGAAAGCGTATGTTTCTACAGCAGCAGGAGCAAACTGCAGCAAATGAATACTTCTGTGGAAAAAAAAAAAAGAGGCAATATTGCACCAAACCAGAGACATCTCTGAATTTCACACATGCATATATTGAACCAAGTTTACTTTTTGCAAACCCAAAAATATTTAACCTTGGTGCAGAGGCAATCCCACAAGTAACACTGTTCAGTGGAGACCCTGAACAATCTGTACAATTTACTGTTAAATATACTATTCATTTTAAAACATCCTAAGACTTGCTTATGACATCAAAAGATACACAGGATAAAGGCACTGCACAACACAGATCCATTTCAAAATTAGATACACAATGAAACGTTAAGAATATTAGGTGCTCTCACAAACAAGCTGCTAACATTTCATCACTATCCCCAAAGACCTACCAATGAAATGTTTGCCAACAGTTCTCCACCCTGTACTAACACTCAGCTCCTTTGCTTTACTCAGAGTGACAATAATCAAATTAGTATCAGTAATTTTCTGCCTTTTTTGCAAACCCTTTCCTTCTCCACTCCTGCTTAAGCTGAAGATGCCACCCTGCTGTTCACAAAATAACACACAGGAACACAGAACTGACCTTTTTTGAATTTGCCACCAATCGTTGATTTGGGAGACATAAGACATTTTGTTCTTTCACATGCCACTGAGATGGAGAATCTGCTTTTCTCCTTCCATTCTGCAACAAAAGTCTGGAAAAGTGCTTTATCACTTGCTACATCAATAATAGTGAAACTTTCAGCACTTAAGGGAACGAGTGGAAAAACATCCTGAGATAGCTGCAGTGAAAAGCCTTGGTCTATAATGGAATCATCTTTTATCTCATCAGTCTCACCGGGGTCTACACTCCCAAGATTGACCTGGAGTGTTTTTACCTGCTGCTCCACGCTGCCCTCGCTATTCTGCTGTGGCTGAACCAGCTGCCCTTCGTTCCTGCAGGCAACTTGTTTCTTCCTTGCAGATTTCACAGAGAGAGAAACAGAACTCTTTGGAAAAAGTTCTTTGGGGGGTGTTGGAGGAATAAATGCATTATTATTATCCGGTGAAGGACAGGATTTTCTGTTGCTTCCCTTGAGTGGAAGTGTTATGCAGTCTGTTTCCTGAAGATCCACGTTTTCTGTTCCCTTTTTTTTAACCTTGAAGGAGCTTTTTAAATGCTGACAAGTGGGTAAAGGCTCTGGCTGACAACAGTCAGATTTTAAAACTGGATCTGGCTCTTGATTAACAATAGGAGCAACTAATTTTCCTTTCAAACAGGAGCTTACTGAAACTGGTTCAATGCCTGAGGGACTAGGCCATTTGTCTAATACATCCTGCAACCCTGGGCTTAATTCAAACGAGTGGTCAGTCCACACCACTGGATGGGTTTTCTTATCTAAAGCTTGCTGGCTTCTCTGGAGCTTTTCACCTTGATCTCCTACTAAATCCTTTGGTCTGGGGTCACTGTTACAAGTCACGGGGTTTATTAATCCTGACTGACCATGAAATGGAGAAGGAAGATCTTCCAGAAAAGATGGTGAGTTTGCATGATCTAAAAATTCAGCTATTAGATCAGAGAATGCTAGAGACACATTGTTATGCTGCACAGGATCCTCATGGTCTTTCTGATTGCCACTGATATCAAACTTACTCTGAACAGACCTTAGGTTCTGCAAAAGACCATCTGCAGGAAGCAAAGCCTCTTGCTTCTCCACTAGGTCCTTTCTGTCAGCTTCCACAATGTGAACAGCTGAAAGGTCTCCGACATTACTGAAGCTATCATCAAACAGCAAGCTATCACTCATATTCAGGCTTGTTTCGGGACCAGAGTGGCATTCTACTTGTACAATGTGCTCCTTACCAAAAGGGGAGGTTGCCTTACTAAGGTCTTTAGGTACACTCTCCCCTTTCACTAAATTTTGGGTCTGGTAATCTTGTAGAAAACTGTGTAGCTGGGAGTCAGTCACTGAGAAATCGCTGTCTTTAAGGCAAGGTGCAGATTCTATTTCCTTCGCCACGGGCTGTAAATCAAGGCCTCCAGACTCCAAAACTTTATTACTGCAGTGCTGAGCTGTGTTTTTTGTAACATTATTTGTTGTGATTAGACTCGATAAGCCCAGTTTCCTAACTGTTGCAGCCAGCCTTTCATCAGTAGCGTTCTCAGTCCGTGAAGTGCTTAGTTTCTTGGAGATTTCCTGTCGTGGTCCTGCTGCCAGTTCTGAACCTTGTATTCCCTGCTGTCCTGAGATTCCAGCTGCTCCCTCCTGTTTTATTATCATTTCAGTTTGAGTATCCAACTGGAAGCTCTCTTCAAAGTCTCTACAGTCAGAAAGCAGATTAGAGGATGGACCATTCTGAACATCATCTGCATTGCAAACACTTCTGGATTTTCCTAGAGAGTCTTTACTAGAGAACAGATTAGAGGATGGACCATTCTGAACATCATCTGCATTGCAAACACCTCTGGATTTTACTAGAGAGTCTTTCAGAAAATCCTTAGGATGACTGTTGGTTTTCTGCAGCGCTCCAGCTTGTAACAATATTCCATTGGGCTTTTTGCTTCCATTGTTGCCACTATTGTGAATCTGAATATGGCAGGATTTATCCTCACTAGGACAAAAATGCACAGGCTTCTGTATCTTGCTGCCACGATTGATATCTCCACTTCCAGAGCAGGTAGCAGTTACATTATCGTGATCTGTGTCTAAAGCCATTTGCTGCCTTCCAATCACCACTTCACCAGAGCTTTCATCTGTTTTCACTTTATTAATTTTATTCTGCTTAACATCAGTATTTTCATTTCTCTGTGCCCTAGCACTACTAGGTATTAATAGACTTCCTGCAATATTGTGTGTCTCCACACTCATGTTTGGAGTACCCTGCAATCTAACAGGTGCCTGAAAACATGCTCTCCCCTTAGGCCTGCCTTCATTAGTGCTGGAAGGCTCTGTAAATAATCCTTCCATTTTATTTTTCCTCCCAAAATTAACTTCCTGCATCTGTACAGGATTTGAGACTTTACGAGTTACAGACCCTGTTTCCATAAATTCCTTATTATTTTGGTCTGAAAAAAAATTACCTGTAGAGATAGTGGGGTGGAAAGCAGGCGGCTTTTGTATGTCTATGCTGAGCTTATTTGAACCTTCAAGAAGTGATCTCTGCAGTTTGGAAATAGTATTTTTGTTTCTGGATCTGTTTAAATGCATGTCCGTACTTTTTATCAATCTAGATGCTGAAGACTTTGTTCTCAATATTGGTGTCTTTCCTTGTTCACTAGGGATCTCTGGAATTGCTTTCCTGGAATCCATCTTGGTTTTGACCAGAGAAATTCCTTCTACATTTTCATTATCTCTGCAGATATTTGGCCGTTTTCTAGCACTGTACACAATATCATCATTGCCTGGGACTTCACTCTCAGATCTGGAGTTTTCTGTACTGCCGCTTAGTTGCCTTTTATACCCCTTTTTAATATTTGATAAGTTACCAGTCTGAGAACCAGGGCCATTACGATGTTGAACTCTGCACCTTTTTTTGTTTAACACCCTCGAAGACTCAGAAGACTGCTCTCCACTTGATCTATCTAGGCTGTCTTCCAGTTCTGACTCACTGCTGAATGTAGAGGATGTATCAGTCTCAAGAAAAGACTCTGGGTTCCAATGTACTCCCATCAGTGCCAAATCCTGCTGGAGAAGTCCCCTGGCTTCCTCCACAATGCGGGAAGCTGCTTCTCTTTCAGTTAAGCCTTTCATTCCAGCCATCCAGATGCTGCGCGCATTCCGACGCTCCTCTGCTGATTCTTCATCTTCATCCACAGCCCGACGAACACTATGGGAAGGTTAACAGACAGATGTAAATATTCATGCAGAAAATAACAAACAACACAAGGAGCTGGCATGATTCTGCTCCGCTCCCGTTCCAATTAGCTCCACATCTTCCTAGCCTCATAGAAGCACTATATCCAAAATGTAATGCACCCAATAGGAAATAACTATTTCAGTTTTCTATATGTGAACTGATGTCAACAAAATATATTACTGGCTGCATACCCCAGGAGCATCCCCAAGTTTCTGTTTCCAAACATGTACCCCAGATTGCGTCCTAACTCCCTACTAGGGCAAGATCCAGATCTGAATCAATCCTCTTCCATGCACTGTTTTCCAAAGAAAGGAACCTTCAGGATCATGAACCAGGCAGGTGTCATGGCACAGTTCAACAGGTACTTGATCAAGGAAGCTTGTCGTTGCACTAACATGAAAATCACAAGAGAACCTCACATGATATACAGTAATAAATCATCACTGCAAGAAGGACACTGAAGTGCTGGAGAGTGTCCAGAGGACACCCACCAAGTTGGTGAGGGGTCTAGAGAACAAGTCATATGAGGAGAGGCTGAGGGAACTGGGCAAGAGGAGGAGGGGAGGGGAGACCTCATTGCCCTCTACAACTACCTGAACGGAGGTTGTAGAGAGGTGGGTGTTGGCCTCCTCTCCCAATGGAATAATGACAGGACCAGAGGAAATGGTCTGAAGTTGAGGCAGGGGAGGTTTAGATTACATATTAGGAAGAATTACTTTACTGAGAAGGTGGTCAGGCACTGGAACAGCCTGTCCAGGGAGGTGATGGAGTCACCATCCCTGGAAGTATTTAAGAAACGTGTAGACACAGCACTGCAGGGCATGCTCTAGTACCCAAGATTGTTGGGTTGGGTGTTTTGTGGCGCTTTTTTTGTATGTGTGTATGGTTGCACTGGGTAATCTCAAAGGTCCTTTCCAATCATGAAGATTCTGTGTACACATATCAACTCATTTGATCACATGGCAGAGCTGCCTTTTAGAGGCAACAAGAGGTCTCCAGAAAGCATTAACAATTCACCAAGGACTAAACAGTGCATTGAAAAGAGGAAACTTATGCTGCAGAGATGCTTCTATTAATTTCAAAATAATCATGGAATAACTATGATCAGTCACAGAGACCTACAAGTTATTTCCAACTAACTTTTGGCACCAAGTCCCAAAAGCATTCCGACGCTCCTCTGCTGATTCTTCATCTTCATCCACAGCCCGACGAACACTATGGGAAGGTTAACAGACAGATGTAAATATTCATGCAGAAAATAACAAACAACACAAGGAGCTGGCATGATTCTGCTCCGCTCCCGTTCCAATTAGCTCCACATCTTCCTAGCCTCATAGAAGCACTATATCCAAAATGTAATGCACCCAATAGGAAATAACTATTTCAGTTTTCTATATGTGAACTGATGTCAACAAAATATATTACTGGCTGCATACCCCAGGAGCATCCCCAAGTTTCTGTTTCCAAACATGTACCCCAGATTGCGTCCTAACTCCCTACTAGGGCAAGATCCAGATCTGAATCAATCCTCTTTCATGCACTGTTTTCCAAAGAAAGGAACCTTCAGGATCATGAACCAGGCAGGTGTCATGGCACAGTTCAACAGGTACTTGATCAAGGAAGCTTGTCGTTGCACTAACATGAAAATCACAAGAGAACCTCACATGATATACAGTAATAAATCATCACTGCAAGAAGGACACTGAAGTGCTGGAGAGTGTCCAGAGGACACCCACCAAGTTGGTGAGGGGTCTAGAGAACAAGTCATATGAGGAGAGGCTGAGGGAACTGGGCAAGAGGAGGAGGGGAGGGGAGACCTCATTGCCCTCTACAACTACCTGAACGGAGGTTGTAGAGAGGTGGGTGTTGGCCTCCTCTCCCAATGGAATAACGACAGGACCAGAGGAAATGGTCTGAAGTTGAGGCAGGGGAGGTTTAGATTACATATTAGGAAGAATTACTTTACTGAGAAGGTGGTCAGGCACTGGAACAGCCTGTCCAGGGAGGTGATGGAGTCACCATCCCTGGAAGTATTTAAGAAACGTGTAGACACAGCACTGCAGGGCATGCTCTAGTACCCAAGATTGTTGGGTTGGGTGTTTTGTGGCGCTTTTTTTTGTATGTGTGTATGGTTGCACTGGGTAATCTCAAAGGTCCTTTCCAATCATGAAGATTCTGTGTACACATATCAACTCATTTGATCACATGGCAGAGCTGCCTTTTAGAGGCAACAAGAGGTCTCCAGAAAGCATTAACAATTCACCAAGGACTAAACAGTGCATTGAAAAGAGGAAACTTATGCTGCAGAGATGCTTCTATTAATTTCAAAATAATCATGGAATAACTATGATCAGTCACAGAGACCTACAAGTTATTTCCAACTAACTTTTGGCACCAAGTCCCAAAAGGTTGCCATATTTAATTACAGGTTTCATCATGTAATCCTTCACCTTAGAAGCAAACTCTTTTACTTGTCTTTTGGACTTACTGATTTCTCACCTTTTGAATGGTACTGAATTCTTCAGAGCAGTTGCCACATCATCGGGACTGGCTTTAGCAAGATCAGCCACTGTGACAAAGCCAGCGTTGAAAAGTGTCCTAGCACGTTGTGCGTTCAGCAGAGACACTCGTACCAGGTCACAAAGCTCCCTGTGAACCCCAAAAGTGAGGCGGCTCTGGAACTGAGAGAGCAACAGCTCCATATTGTGCCAGCCCAGTCGATTACAGAAAACCGTTACCATTCCTGGAACACAGAAGTTACATTAATGTCTTAAATCCAGCTCCAGTTCTACTAAGATGGACTAATTGTGTGCCCCCCCGCCCCAGGCCCCCACATCTGAATCTTTACATTTCTCACCTTCCCATTACTCAGAGAAATTAACTCATGTTTATTGTAACTACGACTAGGAGGTGGTCTCACAGAACTCTAATTAATCTAGAATTAACTAGTTTATCAGAGAGGTAGAAATTCTGAATGACACTGCTTTTTCAAAGACACTAATCTTGAAAGCGTAAAGCACATACATATCCTGTAACAGGATTCCTATGAACCAAACATACTGAACAAGACAGAAAAAGCAGTGATGAGAGGCAGTAAGAGAAGCCACGGATCTTTGAGGAAAGCCAGCACTAATGTCTGTAAGAGCAGAACTTGGCCTGCAGAACTTCAGTTACTGAGAGCACCAGAGGAGATGGCAAAGCCTATGACAAAGGTTACAACTGCAGTCCCCAGCACATGGGAAAAGACCAGCAAAAAGCCAGTTTCTTACTCACAGATCTAAAGAATATGAAAATAACTGAAATACATGGCATCCTTAACCATTTTTACAGTGATTATAGAATACAACTTTTATCACATCTCTTAACTATGTGTCACGTCAACAGTTCATTTTACTTCCCAAATTACTTTTGTGAAAATTATGAACATTGGGAATAGAGAATTATGAAACTGCTACAACAAAAAGTTATTTATACTACCAGAATTAATTCAAACTACTCTGCATCAGTTAGCGTGACCTTTTCATTTTGGGGCTTTGACTCATGCTGCAACCCACACATAGGGTTTCGCAAGTTGAGCTAAAACTGTCTTAAAAATTGAAGACCCACTTATGCAGTAATGGAGGACTGAGGCAATAAGGAAAAAAAGTTCCATCTCAGTCACATGGTGGGCTGTTACATCTACTCCTACACGTCCCTTTTAGGGAAGTTAAGTTAAAGGTGACAGCTATCTGACCTCTTGTTACCTGGTGATAAACGACCCAGAAACTACTCACTCCGTTTTGAAAACTATAAATTTATACTTTCTGGCCTTTTAACTTTGCAACCAAGAGAAAGCCATGCTAAGTCTTAGAGACCCCAAACTTTACCCATGCTTAAAAGTACTCTTTTCCTGAGCAAAGCTTCAGAATGGACTTGGACTTATTTCCATACTTAGTATTGAACAAACTACGTTTCTGTACAGCCCACGGATGATTTTCACAGACCTCAGCACGGTATAGCACTGCTTGATTCCACTCAGCTGATCCCCTTCCCACAGCACACACTGTGGTTTCATCACAAAGCAGGGGGAAACCACAGGTTAAGCTATAAAGATGGAAGCGGTTTTACAAGAGCAATTGTTGTTAGTACCACGCTGTGGCTTATCACCATATCTGGAAGGAAAGCAAACAGACTAGCCTAAGAGTCTTGGGGTATTTTGCCCAGACAACTCACCTGCATAGGTGGCAGCAGACTGTTGCAAGGATTGAAGCTGGCCACGGCTACAGCCATATTTCTTGGTCATATCCTTTAAGGGAACCTCACTGATTAAATCCAGAAGGGCAAGACTGGTGAAAAACCTGTAGAAGTACATATGGAAATAAAATCATCCAGGGTACATTGCAAAATGCACTGTGATAGCATAGGACTTCTAGAATGGTACACAGCATAGCACACAAAAAAGAGAGAAGATGGCTCCCAAAAACATCAGCACAAACATCTTGTGCCAGCAATATTCTCAGTCCAGAGCAGACCAGGTCCAGGTTCTCTATCTGCTCACACAGCAAGAGAGCCAGTTCCTGAAAACAGACACAGAACCCATCTACTCCACATGTTATAACCTCTAGTCTTTGGACGTTCACACCTGTTTGTGGCTACCTTTTGTGGATGGCCATTTGCCTATGCTGCTTCTCTGTTTTAGCTATGATTTTGCCCTTTACAGAGCGAGCAAGAAAGCCTTCTTCAATCCCCACCAGCTCGGCCACACGTTTCATTGAGGCAGGCAGCTTCTCCCATAAGCAGAAAAACTGGTACCAATCAATTGTGGTCCACTCCTCATATACTGGGGTGACCTAAAGAAAATAAGACAATGCAAAAAAAACAATTTCAGAGAAACAAACAGAACAGAACTCTGGGTAAACAAAAATACAGCCTAAGGGAATGTCGTTAGAGCATCCTACGCACTACTCAGAGGCACTGAGTCATAACCATGTACCCTGAAGAAAGAAAAAGCTCTTCTAACCTAGTTTTTTTAATATTTATACTGATGAGATGTGACTCACAGAGGTACTCTAATGATTAAACAATTTGGGATCTTCATCAGATTACTCCTTAAATCCAAGCCATTAAAAGATTTTTAAGCTGCATCTTTATTCTCCTTTAACAAAACAAAACTTTATATTTAAAAAAAACCAAACTAACAGGTATCACCACGAGCAACCACACTAACCACTGTCACAGAATCTGATAAAGGAGGAGGGAAGATAGATTTTGCCAGAACTCACTGAAGCTTTCATTTACCTGGGATACAAGACATCTCAGCTTTTATTAACACTAACAAAAAAGCCATCCAGAGCATTCACACACTTTTAGACAGAAAACCAACTCTGTTATCATTCAGCCAGCACAAAGTCAGTTTCAGTGTGAGGGGACAAAATGTCTTCATATCTGTACTGATAAACTGTAAGATTAATTATTTTGAAATAACTAACACCTGTTGAGCATTTAGCAGAACACAGAATACCAGATGCCTACGTAGTTGTAAACCATCCATGCCCCCTCTGATCTGCTAAGAACAAAAGTCATTAAGGTTTGTCTTTTGTTATTAGATGGTTGGGGTTTATTCTTTAAAGAAAACTCTTTTCCTAGCCTAACAAATACGTATTTGTTTTAATCAACTTTCCTAAAATACAAGGAATTGTTATCTTAGAATTCAGTCTCATATTTGTACAAGTAGAATGTTCAAGCCTAAGAGAATTAAGAAGCATTATAGCAGATAATTTCCCTGTAGCCCGTAAGAAATACATGGAGAATAATTCTTAAAAAAAAAAAAAAAAAGCAACCACTAAAACTAAACCAACCTTCAGCCTGGAAAATGAACAGATGTGCAAGAAATTGTTTTAGGCTAGCTTAATGGAAAAAAATATCATGAACATTTTGTTCAACAGTGTATTTGATTTAAAATAACATTAGACAAGCTGCTGCAATTAAAAAGTATAAGGTAAATAAACATATATTGCCATCACCATCTCCACCCAAAAACATTAACAAGATTTATCTTTTTTTTTTTCTGTTTTGGAGATGCAAACGGAAAAAATTCACTGGTGCATGACACAAAACAGTTCACTTTGCCTAGAAGAAATAGAACAAAATATAATATCCTCTAAAACAACAGATCTCAGTACATACAGGACACTAGTAGATAAAAAAAAAAAAAAAGAAGATAGAACAGTATCAGACAATAACTAGGCTAATGAACACAGCAGACAGACAGCCATCCTCAGTCTTTTGCTTCCCTCTCTTTCCTAGCTCAAGAACTCCTGTAACTGCAAGCATATTCTCCTTGGAGTGCACATTTTTCCTCAGGCAAGATGCCCAAATTTTGCCTGGTGAAGAGAATCCACTTTGTACTTAAGGAGGCTAAAGATAACTGTCCAATTTCAGATAATGATTGTATGATAGGCCTTTGGCAGCAATTAGTCTTAAGATGTTCACTGCAACACCATCTTGTTTCCTCATTCTCACGTTCATGGCTTCTTAATTAATTAACACCATCTTGTTTCCTCATTCTCAGGTTCATGGCTTCTTCTCCAAAGGTCTTAACCAGCACTGCTTAGCTTTTTAAGTGTACGTGCACATAAATCTTGACAAACTTTGTCACACTTTGACAAACACACTTGACAAACTTTGTCACGTAACCAGCACTGCTTAGCTTTTTAAGTGTACGTGCACATAAATCTTCACAAACTTTGTCACACTTCCACCTCAAAAGATTTATCACACTCCTTCCTTTAGCCCTGGCATCATCACCAAGCAAGTAAACTAAATCAGAGATGAACTTCACTGTTACTGAACCGAAGAAAAGCCCATCCATAGGAAGAAAGCAGTGTAGTTCTCTGAGGCTTTTTGTTGGCAAAATACCTGTTAAAACTCCAAGTTTTCTGAGCCTCCAAAAGCAATCTGAGATGCAGCCTGCTGATCCCATCCATAGGAAGAAAGCAGTGTAGTTCTCGGAGGCTTTGTTGGCAAAACACATGTTAAAACTCCAAGTTTTCAGAGCCTCCAAAAGCAATCTGTGATGCAGCCTGCTGATGTCAAACACAACAAAACCAATGTGTTTCAACTTCAAGCGTCTCAGAAAAATTACCATTATCCTACACCCAAAACTTACCAAGTTCTGAAATCTTTCAAAGTCAGGAGTGACAACAATGAGCTTAGATGGACATGCAGCACCTGCCTACAGAACAGACACCACAGAACAGACTAGTTCTGAAGAACATTCAATTAAGAAACTTTTCTTCATGAAGCTAAGCAAAGAACAAAAACCCCCCTATGTTCATGGAGCCCACAAGAACTGTGCACTGTGCTTTCTCTCCTTTCCTTAGTTTTGGCAGTAGAAAATACAAAACACAGAATGAGGAACTTACCAAATAGACAATATGCAGATCATTCTCCAGAACAAAGCTTTTCATAGCTCGCTGCAGGTCAGCAAAGATTTCCATGGCTTCAGTTGGTGAAAGAGAAGAGGAAAGAGTAGCTGAGCCAAGATGTGTTGGATGATACACCTTTGCTGTTAAAAAAAAGAAACACACGCCACAGAGAAACATTTCAGTGCATATCATATCTTATTTTCAGGTTGCAATGTATTTTATAGATATCAATTCTACTAACTTTTCCCAACTGCTTTTTCAAGAAGAAATAGCATATTTCTCCATTCTGAAGACAGAAAAGTGGAAACAATACAAGTTTTAGACGTGCCTAAGTCTAAACTAGCCTTTTTCAGAAGACAGATCACAAGCTTGAATTCCTTTTACTACTCAGGCTGACAGCTGTGATAGCTGTTTGAACAAAAAACAGTGGAATCCCCTCTGCCATCCTACCTAAGAGTTATAATTTTAAGTATGTCCTTCTTAGGAAGACCAACTATCTCCTATCATCTTTTCTTAAAAAGAGATACAAGCCAACCTGTAATGGGGTTTCTTACTATTACTGTAAGAGTCTCAGCCATCTTAAGAAAAACAGCCAAAATTGGGAAAAAGTGCAACTATGTACACCAAGGGCGCCTAGAAGAGACTTGCTCTCTTAGACTCTTAGAACGTACTAGTTCTTCAGAAAGACAATAATCATAGTCTAGAGTTAATGTGCACAAACCTTGTAGTATGCCTTGTTTAAAGATTGGGAATTTGTAGACTAGGATGCATCAGAGGTGATGTGCAAAGAGAGGCTTTCCAAGAAGAACAAGCGCATGCAAAAAGTGTTAAAGCAGGTATAAAGACACCTTCCAGAAACCTATAATCTTGATACACATGATTTGTTAAAATGAAAACAAAAACGCACGGAAGTCCTCACTATGAAGTTACATTGCACACCTACCCAGCTGCAGAAGATTTACTGATTTAAAGTGGCTAACTGCAATCCACGGGAAGAACACCAATGTTACCTTTGACATCATTGCTGGATTCCAGAACCTGAATGAATTCATTTTCCAGCAACCACGCCACACAAGCCTCGATAGGTCCAGTCTGCGCTTTGTCTTGTGCTTTCTCAATTCCCCACTTGCTTTCTTTCAAGCTGAATGCAAGAAGAGTGCAAGAAGCGTAGGTCTGCACATCATCTGGAGTGCTGGCCACTCCCCCAACTATGATCTGTTGAAGAAAACTGTATGTTATTGCCAGAGAAGCAGTAGGATGGATATATCAGATCAGAGAATCACAGAGATTGATCCATCAGATATCTAAGTTTTAAAGAACCAGTGCAATAGGGGAAACATCAGGCAAAGCAACTGCCAACCTTTAAGGACTTTTCTTGGCAAGAAGTTAGACTTCTTAGGTAGAAGTAAGAGGACTAAGCTATGGGAAAGAATGAATTATAAAATATTATTTTGATAGCAAAAATACACAAAGTAGCAATTTAGATTTGAGACTAGCCCTAGGCATTTTGCTTAGCCAACACTGTGAAATATTTTTAAAAGGTTAGAACACAAACTGTAATTTTCTGAAGACAAAAACCAAACAAGGAAGAGTTCTCCTAAGGCTTTTCAGAATACTGAGGTTTTCTCTTAATAAATGTGAATGCTATACCCCATCATTGTTTTGCTGCTTGAGAGTGATCTTTTTTCCCTTGGATTTTGTTTTATTTTTCACATAACTGCTTTTTTCTTTGTGAGTCATTTCTACGTGTGTCTCTTCCTTGAGATAGCAAGGTCTTTAATTAAAAACTTACTTTCATGGTTTCAATGGATTTTTTTCATGTTATAAAGCAACACCATCTTTTATATAGCTCTTATGCTGAAAAATATGTTTAGAAATTCCATTGGTCTGCTAAAAATTAAAAATCTATGGAATCATAACCAAGTTCTAAGTACCACAGCAGCTTTCACAAGACAGTGGGAGTATTAAAGCAAATGTTTGTGCATTTAAAAGGTCTAAGCTCAGCTTAAGCCCAAAAGCAACTCTGGAAAAGAAGACAGGCTCACATATGTGGAACAACACCCTTTTGGCCCATTTAACTCCTGTAGGAACCCTAAAGAGGAGAGGAGGCTAGAGGGAAGGAATTGGGTACCACACCTCTTTGTTCATCAAAATGTATTTACAAAAGTTCAATCATTTCTGTGCAAAAGAGGTAGGTAAGTTTGGGGTGGAAATAAGGGACCCTACAATGTTGTATAAATGTCATTATGGCCCAATTCAGTCTACAAAGCCTCCAGGATCAGTAATTTACAAGCATCTCCCAGTTAAGACTGTCAGGTCTCACATGAAGAATAACACTTATTTCTGCCTGCAGTTTGAATATATCTAAATGCAAAAGCAAAGCTTAGTAACCCTTGTTTGAGTGTGCTCACATCCTAATCTGCAGTAAGCAGAGGCTGAAACATACCAAACAAAATGCTGAATACTGAAGCAAGCTGGCAGACCCAAGCAATTTCCTTCTGAAGCTGCTTGGGTCGACAAGGGAGGAAACAAAACAACAAGAAAATGCACAGAAAATTTGAAGAAATGTTGATGGTGTCACAAAAGAAACCATCCTACAATTACAAGAGTGCAAGCACAGTTTTAATCCCTTTCCACATGTGCTGTACCTCAAGTATGGCTCTTTTCATGCTAGAAGCAATACCTTCCCCTTCTCTTCTAAGCAAACAGCTGGAAACAGGCTTGAGAGATCCCTGAAGCAGAGCAGTTCCTTTTGATCTTTCTGAGGGCTTACAAACTAAAATGCTCTCACCTATAGGAAAAGAAAAAAGAAAACAAACAAAAATCAAACAAACAAATACATTAATGACCTTAGTATTGTATCCTAGCGCTATAATAGCTACATACAGTTGATCAAGGACATATTTTTGAAAAAGCTGAATAACTAAGAGGAAAAACCTTTGTATTCTTGAGCAGTATATTTCCATTGCTATGTAAGAACTCCACAGATGCATAATACTTAAGAACTAAAAGCAGAGCAAACTTGAAAGTTACATTAGGCTGGTCAGGGTCTTGCCAAATCAGCTGAAGAGCTTCCATAGCCCCTCTGTTCATCTGCTTTGCTGCTGAACCACTCTTGCTTCTTGTTCTGGAATTGACTGGAACTATAATACACCATGGCATCATTTTTTCCTCTGCGCTACATTATTAAGCTGAAATGATTCTTAAAAGAAGAATAAAACATAAAAGCTGCACAGCACTTTGACAGTTTAGGTCAACCAGCTTCCACTCCCGAAATGAAATAACACAGGTACCAAAGTAGTTCAGAAATTCAAAGGTAGTAATCTAAGTAACTCTGCCTTCTCTGAATATATTCTCTGTGTGTGTATATATATGTGTGTATACATACACATAAAATCTTAAGTACCATAAATGCTTTCCACTGAAAGTACATCTGAATATAACGTACCTTAAAATTCTCTATCAGACATTGTCAGATTAATCCCTAACTACTGAAATTCTGTGGGAGACAAAAAAGGTTGCAGAGCCATGAAAACAAAGTAAAAATAATGGGCCAATTCCTTTAATGAGATAATAGTACAGATTACTGATGGAAAATGCAGTGCTCACATAAAGGAGATTTTTTTCAGCAAAGACATTAGGTCCCCGGGAGACCTAGCTAGTTAGAAGCTTTGCCAATTGGCACTGGATAAATGAATTATGGGTAGGACAAGCTTGCCTTTGACTAAGAAGAGAGCATTAGATCTGGATTAGCTGGACAGTAAATATTAGCAGGTTATCATAAACCTATCATAAGATATAAGTGCACATAGACTGGACACCAAGGTAATTTTATAGTGAGTATCTTCATAAGAACCTAGGAATTTTAAGTTATGATAAAACTGTAGCTGTGGTAATGCTACAGTAATTAGCAAATCCAGAGGTAATGAAAACACAAATGCACTTAAACGTAATGATCAGAATACATACCACAAATGCAGTATAGGTGAGTAACTGCTGCATACGGCTTAAACACGATTATATAAATTACAGGATGAAAGACATGCTCAGAGGATGTGGGATTTTTTTTATCCTGCCAGGAGAAACTTTTGACATCTGTTGACCATGTACTTTTGCCAGAGCTGAGAGTACAGAAGATAAAACACCTACAAGCATTGTTTTGTGAGTTTTGATTTTAGCAATAAAGAACGTTCACTCATTCCATATTTGGGTTCTGATGTGACCTACAGTTCCCTCTGAAACCTTTGACTCTTCAGTGTGATAAATCTAACAGAAGATGGGTATTCAGTTGGCTCTACATTATCTGACAGTCATTCAAGACTTGGGGGAAAGCCTTTCCCAAGATGCCACTGAGAACTTGAGAAGCGTAGATGCCACTGAGAACTTGAGAGATAGCCAATAAATGCAACCTAGTAAATAGTAAAAAAAAAAAAAAAAAAAAAAAAAAAAAAGCAAAAGCCAGCAAACCCAACACAAACTAAAAGGTTACTGACAGACAATTTGCCTCTGTAAGGGTTTAATATTTTTCCTAGAACTTTTTTTTTTTTTTTTTTTTTTTTTTTTTTTTTTTTTTTTTTTACCATAAAAAAAAAAAAAAAAAAAAAAAAAAAAAAATCCCCAAAAAAGGAACTAAGCTATTCTAAGATCTCTAATGAACATTTGAGGTAGGAGGGGAAGTCAAGGTTAACATCAGACTTACTAGACAAACACCAGAAGACTCTGGCTATCTAGGCATAAAACTAGATTAAAAGCAAAAAAGGTTCTATTATATTTCTCAGGATTGTTCAGTGATACTGAACAGCTTTACCTATTTCACCTTGGGAACATGGCAGTTTTGATGAATGCAAAAAATAATCCAATTTAATTTTCTAAATTGATGTTTTTAAATTGCCTTCAAATCAGAAAAAAAAATTTTAAAAAATCAAAAAAAAATCAAAACCTGAGACAATCCAACACTACAATATTGGGAGGGAGGAGGAAATCAACCCAACAGCATTAATCTTCTGTCTGTCAGCTGAATTTCATACCCACATAAGGCATTTTTTCCAGCTGAAGTTGCTGTCCTCCAGTCTCCCCCCTACTCTGTGAAAGAGTAGCAGCTGCTAATGTAGCTTTATGTTTTCATCCAAAAGACTCTGTAGAGTGGAAAAAAATGGCACATTCATGAAGCTCATCAGCATAAAATCAACTGCTTACTGTGCAAACACAGTCACATCAGAACTGTCAAAAAGAGGGTACTAATTATTGTGACTTAAAGGGGGGAAAAAAAGAAACAATGTAAAAAAAGAAATAATGTAATTTTACACCTGCCAGCTACGCTCAAATGACAAAGTCTGGAAAATTCAAAATATAGCATGCAGCTGCCCTTTTCTTTAACACATAGGGATAGTTCACAGAGATATAGGTCGCAAAATGCTCTGTTGCTATGCTACTCCAGCAAAAATAGAAAGTTAAATGTAAGAACAGTCTGCTTACATAGGGTTCCAGCAAGCACCACTCAAACCATCAGTAGGGCAAATCCCACTTCCCGCTTCTGTTGAACTTCTTATTTTCTACTCTGTTCATAGTTTATAAAATAATTTTTCCAAATATCACCCATGAAGATAAATTTCCATTGCAAATTAAAATAACAGGCAGGATTATTTTGTTGAACATTGATCAGTGCCACTGTATGCATGAGGACACCATATTACCTATGAACTACTGTTCATATTTCCCTCTCTCTGTGACATTACTACTTTCAAGACCCATAAAAGTTATGTTTAAGTTTAGTGAAAATTTAATAAATCCAAATCAGAACTACAGACAACAGAAGAAGTTTGTCAAATTATGGTTGTAGACTTTAAATTCATTTCTTACATTCTAGGCCTGTCCAACAAGAGTTTAGTGTAAATTTTCTCATTGAAACTGTAAATGCTTTAGCAAACTGACCATGGATCACAGAATTAAGGCAAATGAACAGCACAGCCTTAGAAGCTAAGAATTTAAAGGAGAAAATGGCCCATTCCTGAAGTAACTGACATGCAAATACCAAAGTAAGTCTCATGCAGTGAAAAGAATCCCCTGGGAATTACAATTTTTACCCCATTAATACCAAACAAATTCATCTTGATTAACTTAATCATACTGAATTCCGAAGGTATTCGTCATGATTAGTCGCTAATTGCGAAGCATTGCCCTGGATTTAATCAGGTTAACACCATTCTTAGAGAATGATAATAAAGCCTCTGCTTACCCTCTGTGTCTACTCCTTTCCTGCCAGCCCTTCCAGCCATCTGCTTGTAAGTGAGAATGTCCAGCAGTTTGCCACCAAACATGGGAGTTCGTATAATTACTCGGCGCGCAGGCAAATTCACTCCAGAGGAGAGCGTGGAGGTTGCTGCTAGGACCCTAATCAAGCCCTGGCGAAAGGCTCCTTCAATGATGTCCCGTTCATCAAAAGTAAGGCCTGAGTAGAGATACTTTTAGCAAACTTAGTAATGGTAAGACTGCATTTCAGAGCTAATAATATTACTGTCAAGCAAGGGGAAGAACAAACAAACTTCATAAATGTTCATAGAATCATAGAATCGTCTAGATTGGAAGAGACCCTTGGGATCATCGAGTCCAACCATCTACCCTACTCTACAAAGTCCTCCCCTACACCATGTCCCTTAGCACTGCATCTCTTTCAGTGTTAGGAACTAAACTGGCAACACTACCTCAGCTAACTTCTTTCCAATCATAAGTGAAGCAAAATTTTACCATTAAGTTTTCATCGTTCAGTTGACAGTAATAGTTATAAACTAGCTTTTCTAAGTTGCTTGTACACATTGTAGCAAGAGGAACAACTATTTATTACATATCTACAAGCACTGCAAGTAAGTAAATAAATAAATAAATAAAATAAAAGGAAGAAAACTGCATGTAACAAACACAGTAGGGATCTAGGATTTAGACAGTTGCCATCCTGACCCTGGAATCCTTCATTATTTCCATTCAAGGTTACAGGTCTAATATGTATCCTTCTACATTTCCTTGAGGGCTTCAGGCCAATTTTATTCTCGAGAAAGAAATCCACACTCTCTAAGAATTTGGAATTATTCTCCCTACATATTTAATGCCATAGCTACTGCTCTCTCTTCCAGAGTCTGTGCTTTCTCTCAATAGATCAACGGGCAACACACAATATTACCTACTTAAGTAAGTAAAAAAAAAAAGAACTAGTCAGAAGCTTTTATGGCACATGCTCCTTTTATTTTTATTTTCATTGTTATACTTCTTCTATTTACTCATCTATTTCAGTATTAAGTCAAGGATAACTGCTCTAATATTCTGGCAGTTTTAGGGACAACTTGAAAATGCTTAAGCTGCAATCAGGTTCAGGCATTTCACACACAAAAAAAAGTTGCATTTAAAAAGCTGCCATTATCCAACATAAAAGAGAGAAGATTTATCATAACAGTAAGTCAATTAAAGTCTTAAGCCACAATAAAAGAATTTCAAGTTAACTTCTAACTCAGATTCTCAAAATACTTTAACTCAGTCGTAAGCTACAGAAGACTTCAAAAAACAATTGATAAATTGCTGGTAAGTGCAGCAGAAGGAACCCATATGATTTGACCATTACAGAATTCAAGACCAAGATATTCAGGAATACCTGCATGATGAAATGCCACTCCCCATGGCAAAGTACGTTGGAGCACTGAGTCCAAGCCTGAGACAGAACGCTTTAGCTGATCCAGAACCTCTTCAATCCCTTCTCTGTCCACAACAACTGGGGCAAGGGCTGAGGTTTTTGCAGAACCTTGAGAGAGAAAATATTTTTATAGTTTCTACTAAAATTATTTTTCCTTAAAGGCACTGTGCATACTACAGTCTTCTATTAACTACTTTTCTCTTACTCTCAGCCTGTTGCAAGCTGTAGAATTCCCTGGCAATGATGTCTGCCAGCTTCTCACACCAATTCTTGGATGGACAGAAAAGCAGGACTGAACGGCCATCACAAACAGTCTCATAACACAGGCTCACAACATGGTCTTCATCTCCCTGAATGGAGACAAAATATTTTCAATGCACTCTTTCACTGAATGGGGTTTGTAAATGCTGTCATTCTTCTGTCACAGCAGGAGTCTTCTACTTCAAGTTAGAAAGAGGAGCAAACATAAAAGATTGAGCACTGTTATCATAATTACCGTTTGCTTTAGGAAGTCCAAGCACTAGCATCACCACATTGTAGAGAACAGCCCTAGACCTACCCATGAATAAAACTAAGGTTTAACATTTTGCTTTCATAAATCTGTTTCTGAATGAAAGCCATGCAGTGCACAAAAAAAAACCCTGCAAAATCCATGTCGTGGCTAAGAGCAATGCAGAAGAATTAGGAAGTGCCCCGAGGGAAAACATCACTCTACAGTAAGCAAGGAAGATTTATCAAGTAGGATGTTTGAACTAAAAGCATGAGATGTAGCAGCTGAGTAACCTAATAAGATGCACCCAGCAAGCACTGTTGACCAAAGACTGCAAGTGCTCAGAGCACAGTGGAAAGCTTTTACGGATACTTATATAGATGTGCATGCAAAACCCCACTGTTTACAGCTTGCCTTTTTGGTTTTAGGATCCTGAGAGAGTTCCTGCAACTGATCTCCTTTGCTTGGCAAAGCCAGATTCTCTTCCAGCAAGCAGGCCAAAGAAGGAAGAGGGAAAAGGTAGGTGTACAGTAAGAAACAATAAAAGGCAAATGAAACAAGGGAGCAATGGCAAGAACTGCATATACGCATCAAAAGCTCGGTAAGCATTCAGCCAAATTCAGCAGAAGTGGTGAGGTCATCAAGTTCCCTTTTCTGGTCCAGAAGTCTGAAGGTCCAGTAATGGATTTCAAGCCCAAGAGGATCACCTGGTCTTATCAAATAAGCCAACTCCCTTAAACTGTTGAGTGATGAGCCTAGTTTAGTTCCTTCTTTCACTTAATTTAGTACCTATCCAAAGCAACTACTTGAAAAAATATTGAGAAAAGGAGATGCAACATCACCTTCTCAATATGACCACAGAAAAACAAGCTTATAGATAGTGTTGTCACAAACATTTCCTTTTGTTTCTAGGATCCTTTTTCTTTGCTGTGCCACCATGCTACCGCTAACAGAACATTTGCACACAGGAACTGGGTGCAAAATATTCCAAAATATTGCTGGCATTCAGCCAATATTATCCAACTACCACACTAGTATTACACAGAGCAGTTGAAAGGACTGAGGAGAGAATTCACCCTTCAAAGACTCCACAGAAAAGGAACCTACAAGTAAGAAGTGCACATTTCCCATTTCTACCCATTTGGTTCTTCCAAATCATTATAGTACATTACCCTTTTCATATCCTTTTCAAAAAGACCGAAATCAGATTCAGAAGAATCAGGATGGACATCTGCCTTCTTGTTACTGACAAAAATAGATCATTTAGCAGTTTAATATAAGCAGGTTCGATACCAGATGTTTATGCAAATATATTCTCCCAACAATTAGCGTAAATTCCTTGGCCTAACCAGGAAATACCTTCATTTGTGAAAGTGAAGTAGATTACAGGACACAAAATAGGGTGGCGGGTAAGGGAAGAATCAAGCTCTTTATACCTGTAAAGTGCTCAGAAACAAGATAACTGCAAATCAACTTTGTTTTCAAGTCACTTCAAGATTCAAGAAACTTCAAGAACTTTGTGAGCGTGTTTTGTTCTGTTTTTTGTTTAAATCAGTAGAAGACAAAAAAAACCTCAATTTTGTTCTCGGTTTGAGGATACAATCTATGACATAAACAATGAAGTCAAGAATGTCAACTACTAAAAGAAAAATTAAAAACATAGCAGTAACTGCTTTTTTAACTTTAGATGTACAAAAGGTCCTATTCTAAAAACACCGCTTAGAGTTTTGTTACCTTCAGTTGAAGCTTGGGCTGGAATTCTCGCACTAAATTCATGGAGGAGTCATAAATGTTGCTGCCAATTTTCACCCACTCCTTGAGGGGCACAGGGCGAAAATCCGTACAGTATAGCTCCGCATCTAACCATGAGGCAAGGAGTCCCAAGTTAGGGAGAGTAGCACTCATGCCTACTATCTGTATCCCACCAAAACCAGGACTGGTCATCTTTGCCTGTCTGGAAGTGGTTAAAAGAAAATATTTTCACCCACTCCTTGAGGGGCACAGGGCGAAAATCCGTACAGTATAGCTCCGCATCTAACCATGAGGCAAGGAGTCCCAAGTTAGGGAGAGTAGCACTCATGCCTACTATCTGTATCCCACCAAAACCAGGACTGGTCATCTTTGCCTGTCTGGAAGTGGTTAAAAAAAAAAAAAGAAAGTTAGTGACAACACAGGCTACTATTCTGGAAAACAGGATTCAGAAAAAAATAGCTCAATCTACTTCCTTCCAGCATCTAAAAACAAAGCTATTTTTTTCAACTTATTGACAAAGAAACAAGACATACTCTACTCTTAGCAAACACAATGTCAGACTATATATTGATAACAAGATATTTCAACTTTTTATCATTTTGAATGTAAACTTTAAGGTTCTTTAGGTAACAACAGCAATAAACTAACTGCATATTTGGAGAAACTGAAAACAAACAAATAAATCAACTACTTCCTTGCCATTAACAAAAACATGGAAATAAAGAAATGGTTCAGTCTCCACTGCAGTCTTTCTAAGCTTAAATGCCTTCATTAAAACACTTGCATTTGTTTCAATTTCAGGACAAATACTACTAGACTAAGGCCTTCCTAGAGTTGGGAACCAAAGTCCTTCGTTAGCAAAGAGAAAGCAGCTTCAGTTCTCTAAGTGCTGTATAGCAGCTTCCACTAAAGGCAGTGAGAAGTAATGGGCACTTAACAGACCTGAAAACACAAACCATTAATTTAGGTACCCAAATGTATATTTTAATTCAGGCTTTTACATCTATATGGGGTTTCTTATGCTCCTAAGCCTACATTTGAAAACTAGTCATTTGCATTGCACTGAGCCACATATTGAGACTTTAAAAAATAAAAAGGTCCGACAAATCAACATGAGCTCAGAAACAGCCTGAACCTTCTTAGAAGATCCTGGTAATACTGGCAAAGACAAGAGAGAGGAAACAAGACTACCCAGAAGCTAAAGTAAAAAAAGGCCAGTCACTGACAAGACAGAAATAAGGAAGATGTAGAGAGGTAAACTCTCTCTTACCTGAGCTCTTCAAGCATTTGCTACTACAATTCTGCCACCTTGGTTGGAGATTTTTCCCTCTACAGCAACTTTAGACCTTTTCCCCCCCAAAGTAACTTTTGACCTTCAAGGATTAAAAATGTTGCAGCTCTACAACACGCTGTTTGACTAGGGAGGAGAAAAATCTGCTGCAGAATTTTGGCTGGGTCTGCAAAAGGCTCATGGAGAAGCAAGGGTATTCATACTGGCAATGGCCACCAGAGAACATCCTTTGAGTGCAAAGCCATAATCTTACACTTTAGTGGGATGTCCAGCTAATCACTTGAAAAGCTCTTCAAAGCACTGGTCATTCTGATAATCAGTCAGGCTGGACAGTGTTTAAAGAATTTGGATAAAGGAGCTCCCATTAAATAACAGAGCTGGAGGGGGAAGCATCACAGGCTTGGGAGCACATTGAGAGAAAATGTGGTCTTCAACTCCAGCAATTTCAAGTGGATTCCAAAAGTAGCAACAACCTCCTTCATGTCACTAAGTGGTACAGGGAACCACTGTCAACTTCACCATAATGAAGAGATGGAGAATCCAGGCCCTGACACCTATATGGTGAAGGCCCAAGTACTGTTCTTCCCAGGAACATACCTTGATGCATCTCTCCCTTTTCGCTTGACAAATGTTTTTTCCTTCTGTTTCTTCAACACGAGGGAGGAAAGTGGAGAGCAGACCTGCACCTGTGCTGCAGCCACATGATAAGCCATGGTAAAAGGAGTGGCAAAGCCACTCACACTGCTCTGAAGCATACCACCTTCCAGGACTTATGGTGATAATGTGAGGAAAAGTCAGAGGTGATTAGATCCAGAACACTGCCAGATCCTGGAAATCAGGATAGGAAATACTGGCTAAAATGTCCATTGGAGAGCCAATCTAGAAATGGCAGTTGCCCAACAACTAAATCTAAGAGAACTAAGTCTAGGAGGTTCCCGGAGTGTGTTGAGGATAACTTGTTGACACAGCTGGTGAGGGAGCCAACTATGGAAGGTGCCCTGCTGGACCTGTTGTTTGTGAATGAAGAAGGACTTGTGGGGGATGTGATGGCTGGAGGCTGTGTTGGGCATAGCGATCATAAAATGATAGAGCTTTTGATTTTTGGAGAAACAAGGAGCAGGGTCAGCAGAACTGCCACCTTGGGCTTCCAGAGGGAGGACTTTGGTCTATTCAGGAGCCTGGTTGACAAAATCCCTTGGGAGGCAGTCCTGAAGGGCAAAGGAGTCCAGGAAAGCTTGACATTCTTCAAGAAGGAAGCCTTAAATGTGTAGGAGCAGGCCATCCTCATGTGCTGAAAAATGAGCACATGCAGGACACCCAGGCGATCAGGCCCAGTCAGCATGGGTTCATGAAAGGCAGGTCGCTACTTGACAAACCTTATCTCTTTCTATGACAAGATGACTCTCTTAGCGGATGAGGGAAAGGCTGCAGATGATGTTTACCTGAACTTTAATAAAGCCTTTGACACTGTTTGCCACAGCATTCTCCTGAAGAAACTGGCTGCTCATGGCTTGGACAGGTGTACACTTCACTGTGTAAAAAAATGTCTGGATGGTGGGGCCCAAGGAGTGGTGGTGATTGGAGTTAAATCCAGATGATGGTCAGTTGCAAATGGTGTTCTCCAGGGCTGTTCTGTTTAATATCTTTATCAATGACCTGGACAAGGGCATCAAGTGCAACCTCAGTAAGTTTGCAGGCAACACCGAGTTAGGCGGAAGTGTTGATCTGCTTGAGGGTAGGATGGCTCTACAGAGGGATCTGGACAGACTGGATCAAGACTGGAGGTATTTAAAAGATGTGTAGGTGTGGTGGTTAGGGACATGGTTTAGTGGTGGTTTTGGCAGTGTTAGGTTAGAATCATAGAATCATCTGGGTCGGAAGGGACCCCCAAAGGTCATCTAGTCCGACCCCCCCACAGTCAGCAGGGACACCCCCAACTAGACCAGGTTGCCCAAGGCCTTGTCGAGCCTCACCTTGAACATCTCCAGGGATGGGGCCTCAACCACCTCCCTTGGCAACCTGTTCCAGTGCTCCACCACCCTCATAGTAAAGAACTTATTCCTAATGTCTAATCTAAATCTGCTTTTCTCCAGTTTAAAGCCATTACCCCTTGTTCTGTCACTGCAGGCCTTTGTAAACAGGCTCTCCCCAGCCTTCCTGTAGCTCCCTTCAGGTACTGGAAGGCCGCTATTAGGTCTTCCTGAAGCCTCCTCTTCTCCAGGCTGAACAACCCCAGCTCCCTCAGCCTGTCCTCGTAGCAGAGGTACTCCAACCCCCCGATCATCTTTGTGGCCCTCCTCTGGACCTGCTCCAACAGGTCCATATCCTTCTTATATTGAGGGCTCCAGACCTACACACAGTACTCCAGGTGAGGTCTCACCAGAGCAAAGTGGCAGAATCACCCCTCTGGACCTGCTGGCAACACTTCTATTGATGCAGCCCAGGATGCAATTGGCTTCTGGGCTGCAAGAGCACACTGCCTGCTCTCGTCCAGCTTCTCATCCACCAGCACCCCCAAGTCCCTTTCCTCAGGGCTGCTTTCTAATACCTAGTTAATGGTTGGATTCAATTATATTAAAGGTCCCTTCCAACCTAGACAATGCTAAGATCCTAAATTGGTAGTCTATGCTTAGCTCTGCACTGGTATGACTCACAAGACAGGAAGCAGCAGAGAAAACTGTTAAAATCTGGCTTTTGGTGCTAACGGAACAGTTGATTTTGACTCTTCTCTCAGTAACACCAATAAAGATTAAGACGATCGATACACCACCTCCTCTATTTGCCTTTCAGCGTTTGAGCACTATGGAGCCACTAGACAGTTTAGTGTTGGGGAGCTAGATACTGAAATCTTAAAAGCCTCTAAAGCTCTTCTGAACATCTAATCTGTTCCCCAGCGTCCCATCAGTTGTGCTAAAGGCAAGAAATTGTGCAACCACTAGGCTATTGCGTGTTATAAACAAAACCACAGATCACCCTGAGCAGTGCTAACAAAGCAGACTACTGGCACATCTTCTTAAGTCTTCTGATCAATTCACCATTGACAAGTTAACAGCATGAGAACTCTTCTACAATACCTGAATGTTTCCGTAGGATAAATACTCCATTCTATGAAATACTGAAAAATTAAGCTGAGCAAATCTGCTATCAAAAACTTTAAAAGAAATCCAAAGTTTTTAAAAAAAATTTAAATAGGCTAAAAAAGTAAGTGAAAGATTCAGCCTTATTTCTTTTCCTCAGAGAACGAATCCCATGGTAGCATACAAATTGAAAACCATGAGGAAAAGAGGTTTTGACTACAATGGCAGGCCCCTGAGAGGTGGTGTGATGAGAGCTTAATAACCAAAATAGTCTAGGTCATCACTCTCATAAAAACCCTGGAGCTAACCCAAATTTCCAGTCACTCAGAGAACAAAATAGTTAGAACCATCCATAATTTAGCATTAAAAAGACGGACATCCTGGTGTACCCACCGTTTTGCAACCTTCTCTGTAACATATCTGACTTTGGTCAGAAGGAGTTCCAGCAGATATCCTCGATGAGAGTCTCCCAGCATGTGCAACTCATCCACAACCACCACTCCTGATAAAGAGAAGCACTCAGGTTATATCTGACCAAACCCCAAACTAAGAAAAGATAGTTTCAAGATAGATCATTTCATATTTCCACACGATGAATCAAAATTTATATTCACAGATCCTGCTGTGCTTACCAAAACCACTATGGCTTCCTTCTGCCACTGATTCTTCTGAGACAAAGCATGACCAATGTCATGATGTTTCACACCCCCAACAACCACACACACACAGTCAGTTTTTAAAAAAATAAAAATAAATAGGCTGAGTTGTTGGTCTGGCCACCACACAAAACAGTATTGCAGCATCTATACTGTTTTAGTGCAAGTAAAAACAGCCAGGCTTCAGAGTATCCAGAAAGGAACATTTCAGCACCCAAAATGAGCTAGTCAAAAGCTTTGTTGACATCACTGTCTTAGTTAAAAACATCACTTCTTACTAATACAGTAATGTCAGAAAAAATAATCCTAGAGCGGATGTAATTACACTGGCATAGCCTGCTTCCTATTATATCTTTTCTCACTAACCAAATCTGAATGAACTCTACTATTTAGCTTTGGCTTTCAAATGAAAAAAAACCCTTACACGAGTGCTCTGTTGTCATCTTACCTCCTGCAAATGACTTTTTGATCTATTAGCCACCTCCATCACGTTTGTAAGAAGTGTAGGAATACTGACAAGGATAATGTGTAAAGATCTTTCTGAATATCAGCAGCTGAAGATAAGAGACCAGATTAGGGTCTCCCCTGAGGAGAAAACAGAGAGCCCCCTACAACTCAGCCCCCCGGTGCACCTCCTGCACACATCCCAACTAGCAGCAGTATGTACCATTTCTGACCAGCTGACAGAGTCACAGGGACATGGAAGAGGCTGAAGGAAGGTTAAACAAAAAAAGCAGGGCACAGGGGACACCAGGCTTCATTAGTTCTGCTGCTGTGGAATTTTTTTCCTCTTTGGTGCAGCTATGTAATATCTTCCTGGTACAGCTAAAATAGCAGGAGCTTAAGGGCAAATGTGACCTTGTATTATCTCTTTCAATGCTATTTTTCCTTCTCATTTTTTTTCTCTCCTTCCTACATATGTTCCTTCTCTCTCCGTCTGTTTTCTCCCCCCTTCTCTTTCAAGCTACTTAAGTTAGAAAAGAGCGCTGCACTGCTTCATCAGCCTCCCTTACAAACTCCCACCCATCCAGCTCCTCTCTCTTCCTGTGCTTCCTCTATTCTGTGCTCACTTGTAAAAAAATGGTAATTCACTGGTCACCAAATACGTATTTATTCAGCTACCAGAAAAAGCTTCTTCCTGCTTCCCTGTACAACAGTCTGTTTGAATGCTTCCAGTAGCTGAGAGAGGCCAGTGCAATCAGATATCTACCAAAGTAAAATTCATACAGGTTACCTTTCCAGTCTTTGTACCAAGCAGCAGCACATTTTGCTTCTTGAAGTGAAGCGTAGTGTTCTAGTGGTACCTACTGGCCAAAGCACAGGGAATATCACTATTTGTTACACAGGTCACTTGTTCTAGACCTTCTGCAGCTACTCAGCTATAATATATATTCCAAACCCACGCTAAACCTGTGAACTTTATTGCCCTGGCAGTCTGCAAGCTGGTGAGATGTGATTGTCACACGTGCACAGTGCTCTCTTCTACTCAGGCAGTGCTCAGAACACACCCACTGGGATAAAGCAGCAGGAGCAATCAGGCAAACAGTGTTTTTCACAAAGCTATCCTTAACCTGAAATGGAATTGCAGCCAAGGAGGACTTCAGGTCCCAGCATGCAATGGTATTTTCGACTCAACAACAAGCCCAGGAGTGTAAGTGGGGCCAGAATTCCATCAAACTGAAAACGAGTAACATTTCAGTCCCCTCTTTCTCTTTGCAAATTAGGTGTGTGTGATGAAAAAAAGCTACCTTGACAGCTATCATACATATTTACTGTAGAATAACTAGGCTTTTTAAGCCCACATCTTGTTTAAAACTAAAAAGTTCTGAATGACAGGCAGGGATGATTTACATTATTTATTTTTTAGTACAATTAAAGTATTAATTTTTTAATTTCAAGTTTAAATTAGGAAAAGAAACAAGTATAACAGCACATTACAAATCCATTCCCAGCTGACCCATTGAGAAGGCAGCCGATTCTTCTCTAATCCCCTTTCCTAGAAATTTCTTTAGTGTCAGTGTCAACAAGCTGAACAAGAGGAACATCATCTCCTGTACCTGGATGTTCAAAACTGACACACGTTATATAATAATTAGCAACACAAAACCGCTTTTAACTGCTTCATACAGCAAAGAGGAACTCTGCCAGGCAGAAGATCTGAGTTCCTCCCAACAATTTCCAAAGGCAACGTGAGCTATCAGCAGGGGGTTGACATCAACAAAAGGAACAGCTCAAGCTTGAGATGGAACCCAGCCAGAACTGCAGTCATCTCCCAATAACTCATCTCAAAAGATAAAACACACTCATTACGAACTAGTCTAAATTTAGAATTAATTAGAAGACGAGGTACAATCTTGCCGTTTCAGACAAGCTTGCTTTAGGTGACAGTTAAACTGGCATTTTCAGCTCATGTTTGCATTTTGCAGCTTTAATGAAACTGTATCTCCAAGTAGGAAACTTGTCAATGTCTTACTTTAAAGATGATTTTAAAACTCAAGTTTAATTTAGAAATTAATTTCAAATAAGCACATAAGGAAAAAAAGATTTTTAAAAAAAACATTTTAACCCTTGTTTCAGTTATATGCTCATAGTGGGGCACAAGGGAAACTGAGGGTTGCAGCAGAGGTGTTTTCAAGTGGTGAAAGAAAAACATCATGCTTTAAGGAGATATCAGTGTTGAGGACATATATGACATATATTCAAACTCAAATCTTGTAATCACTTGACTGGTGATATCTAAATGACTCTTTTCAGGTACAGTCATCTTAGAGAGCACGACAAAAATGTAGGGATGGAATAGAGGTACCAACCAAAGGAATTTGGGATATCTCTAGCTTCTGAAAGATGTTAACATTAAGCAATACATCTCAATATACTGAATATGCTTCCAAGGCTCCCAAGCCAACATAAATATGGACATCATGACCCCATTCTCTGCCTTGTGCTGGCAGTACAGCTTGTACCGTCTAGTGACCTAGGAACCAAACTATATTTAAAACAAACAAAAAACCCCTAAACTAAGTAGCCAGATATTGAAATAACTAACTGCATGATCACTAGTTCTCTTGCAGGGGAAGGGATGAAGATATACATTCAGGAATCAGGCTGGGCTGCAGGCACCTCGATTCAAATGAGCTGAAAATGCTGCACAGCCACAGTCATCCCCTCATCTTCTAGCCCACTGGCAGTCTAAAGCATGTGTGGTGACCCAGCCCCTAGAGATCCCAGTGTGAATGCGTTATCTTATGATCAAACACTCTGAAATAACCTGAAGGGCTTTATTTCCCTTATTCTCTCTCATGTTTAAAAATTTTTTCTGGTATACAGAAGAGTATTCTGCAGAATGCTGCAGAATATTATGCCACCAGATGCACATAGAACAAGTTTCATAGGTGGAGATCTCAGAGCAGTTTTCTAACTCATCTGAAAACTCATCTAGCTTTCCAATTTTTATATTTTTAAAATAGCAGCCAGCTATGTTACAGGCCAAAGTGAAGATGGGGAAGATTAATTGTGTAAAATATAACTGGGAGTAGCTTTACTGAACAGGCTGAGAAGAACAAACTTCTGACTGCACCAGGAAAACATGTCTTTCCAAGTTCACACTGGAAACATAAGGCTTCTTCAGGTTTTGTATCTCCTCCCAAATACTAAATGAATACTACCATTATCTAGTGGTCATCAGGGCCATGGTGACCCAGAAGTCTACATTACAAGGACAGAAGGCTTTCAAGTGAACCACAAGAGAGAAATTAACGTGACAGCCCTCCTAATAATCACCATGCCTGCCCAGAGGAGCTCTATGTATTCATTCCACTGATCTGGGCCCAGATGAACACCAAACACAATTCTGCCTCTTCCTTGAGGTAAATGAAGATAAAACATGGATACCATATGTACACAATCTCTGTCCCAAACAAATGAACATGCATACATTCTTGAACTCAAACATTTTCCAGACCCTTAATTCACTTTCTTCAATTAGAAGATATTTTTTAGCTGTAGAAATCGCTGCTAATCACTGTCCATGGATTGTCATCCATGTCGGAGAAACTAAAACCTGCAGCTTCTACCTACTCACCCCAGATGCTGAGCTGCATAGAATAGTCCTGACTGCCTTCCTAAATCCAAATCAGGGGTGCTCTGAAGGAAGAAAAATTTTTGCTCAATTTTGCTATATGGCATGTCTGCCACATACAGAACTGAGCAAATACAAAGCATCCCATGATTTCACACGTACTCAGAGTATGTAATAAACCTCACCCCTACAATGGTCAAGCCTCAGTATCTTACCCAGTGAGTCCATTTGGTTTTCTTCTATTAGTCTATTGATTAGACCATTGGCTTTCTCAATGGTGCAGACAGCAACATCCAGGGCAGAGAAGCGTCCAGCAGGAGACATGCTTCCCATGTAGCCTTCAACTCTCACATCCACCTCCTGAAACAGGGCCTGTTTTTCAAGGATAAAGAATGTCATGCCAAGGTTAAAACTCTGAATTCGGACCAAAGCCTGCTGGAACCACATAAAAACCTGCATCCTACAACCACAATTTCTAGTACTTAAAATGCCAACTAATCAGATAAAAGCCATGGCTCAGCCAGTTACAGTTACTTTTTTGTTTGTTTGTTTCCACTGTCACTGTTTATTTCCAAAGCAGAAGCCACACCGTACACATTGCAGGACAAAGCGTACATAACTGAGTATGAGATGGGGACCACCGTTTTATTTTAAAAAAGGTTAGAGAACACAGAGTACAACAGTTTATAATACCAGTGGGTTATGTACAAAGAGGCCTTGCTTCTGAGAAATCCTGAGCAAAAGCCAAATGTGGGACCCCAAACCCAAAGATGTCACATCTCCCACTGAAAGTCAAGAAATGACAACTTCTTTTCTTCCGCGCCTTATTACTGCAGTGCCAAAGCTTTGGCACATCACACATTAAAATAAAAAAAAAAGGCACAAATTCTTGAACCAGATGGGTAGGATACTGTACGATTTCAAGTATGGGCAGGTATGGTCAAACCTTAGGCCAGGAGTACTAGAACACATCATCAATAATCCTCCAGTTTTACAAGATTAAAGCAAAAGCAGGTCTCCATTAACAATCACTACAAAGTAGCTTTCACGCTCAATTTGTAGCACTTCCTAGCAATTTGCAAGGTTAAGCTACCATCTCAGTTTATTAACACCCAAAATGTCTTAAATGTCAGAAACTGTAACAAAAAATGCCTGCTTTTTATTTGTATTTAGTGATTGTTGTTACTTTGACATATTAGCTAATGAAAACAATATTTGATATAAAAGTCTTTCAAGAAAAAATGTTTTAAAAAGAGTGTTGCCACTGTAATTTTGTTTTGAAATAGCTGGGGTGAGGAAGCCAAGACATAACCACATTCTGTCAGAACATATTTTTAGCAAAGTCAAAGTGAAATCAAAGGCACGAAATTCTCATGGAACACCCCAAGGAAAGCTAAAATATCCTTTTATCCTTTCAGATAATGTTGACACCTTCCCTTTGTAGTTTTTCAGACGCAATCTCTAATTAGAAAATTCCTTTAAAGTTTGTATATTATAAAATCTATGAATAAATGCAAGTAACAATGCTTTAAAAATCAAAGCTGAAATAAAATGTCTTAATCAACTCCTTAAAATTTTTCCAAGTTTCCTTTTTTGGCTAAAACTTTCATTTTTTTCTCTCCCACTTAGGATTTGTAGGTAATTTAAAATCTGCTGTCATTCTTTCTGAAACAACTCTGGCATTTATTTTTTTCCTCAAATCCACGCAGTAACTTACATTTAAGAAATGTGACCCAAAAACTACAGCCCATAAGTTTACCTGCTTTGAATGCTACTTACCTGCAAATAACATTTTTTCTCCTTGGCCACAGAGACAAAGGGAAGGATGAGAAGAGCTTTCTTACGAGTCTCCAGGACTCGTTTCAAAATAAGCAATTCTGCAACAAGAGTCTTTCCAGCACTGGTAGGAGCTTGGGGAAAAAAAAGAAAAAAAAAAAGAAAAAAAAAAGTAGTTGAGGGGTTTTTTTATTACATTTAAAGTTTTTGGGAAAAAAAAAAAAAAAAAAAAAAAAAAAAAAAGAAAAAAAAAGTAGTTGAGGGTTTTTTTTATTACATTTAAAGTTTAAAAAAAAAAATCCAAAGAACAAGCATAGAAAGCAGTTACTGAAGAATTTGGGGCAGTACTCTTCAATTGATGCTCCTCTCCCAGCCCCACAACCACAGTAGCAGTTAACCCCATGCAGGGTCAAGAATTTGTTGAATTAGCAAAGTATTTCTCTTCTAGCCTCTTCCATCATGCTTTCAAGGCTCGTGTTCTAATCTCTGCTCCAGAATAAACAGCAGCTCAGAGACAAGCAAGAGGAAAAAAACCTGAACAAACAAAAAAACCACTACAGTTTCTTGGCTGGACAGAAGACCTCAGCCAACACCTTACTGATCTAGCATATTATTATGCTATCATTCAGTTCCTGGTTGACATAGTCTGTAATAAAAAATAGAGCGTCATCATTAGCTGACTCCTAATGTTCCTTTAGAAAATGGTAATTAACAGAGAAAATGAAGAAAAAAGTCTCTCCTCACATCTGGAAAGGAGTCCATCAAGCCAGGTCTAGGCTACAGTGATGGGACAGATCTTAGTGGTGCTTCTCCAGGAAAAATAAGACATTGGCTTTTTTATCTGCTAAATCAGCACCCTTCAGCACCAATATGGTTTTGTAAAACGGCACTGGGAAAGTCAGGGGGGACTGGTTTTGTCAGATGTTTGCATACCTGAGTAAACTAGGTTCTTCCCTTCCAGAACTTGTCCAAGCATTAGGCATTCTGCTTGCCATTCAAACATCTGTACTACTCCCAGACTGTGGTATTTCTCCAGAACTGCCTTAGGAAGACCCCAGCTTGCAAGGAGCAACTTGTCTGCTTGGTCTTCAGGAATATTTAACTGCTGATATTGCCCTTTGGGAGAAAATAAAAAAAAAATAAAAATTTAAAAGTCAAGTATCATCCTTGAATTGAAGGTCACATATATCTAAAGGTCAAACTTCTCTACAAGCTCCTGTATAATGAGAAAAGGTAACAAGGAACTATCTTCTCTATATTTATCAATATTTCTTACGGATGTTTCACCATTCTTCCTTTTTCCTGATATCATTTTTCCTCCTATAAGGTTTTCCACATTCAAATTATTTCTTCACCAAACCCTTGCTCTGAAATTTGCTTTTGAAACACAGCAGACATTACCAAATACATACTCAAACAGAGAGCTTCAGCACTGATTAATATAACAGCATTACAATGTATTTGCCATCTGATCCTTATCCAGGCTCTTTCCTTTTCAAATGATTGCTACAGAGACTTCAGTAATCCTCGCAGACTACAGAACTGCCCCAGTCTTTTTTCTTGCTTTACAGATTAATTAAAAAACCAACATAAACCAAACAAGCAGCACAAGGTACTCTGCACAGTGTTATTCCAGTTTATCAACACTTGATTAGTATCTTCACAATGTTGCTGGTTCCTCTGTCTTAATTAAGTTTCTTGCTACTTATTTCTTGTCTTTATAATTTTGTGCCAGCTACAAATACTGCCTTCTCCCTCTTCTCCTTCTCCCATTCTCCAAATCATTAAGAAAACTCAAACTTTTTGTCCCTTTTTCTCGTCTGCGACAGAAAACAGGTTTCTGATCCACCGTAATGCTTCCCCAATCACCCAGGACTATATAGTTCCGACAACAGTATTTAAGGAAAGACCTTGTCAAATAGAGATAAAACCCAAGTAATTGTGTGTACTGACACTACTGTACCCATTCTTCTACCCGTACATTCAAAAAATTCTAAGAGAAATTCCCCACCACTGCTGGCAGGTTAGATCAGAAATACTAATGTGCATGAGCCGCCATTATTTTTACTCTCAACATACTAAAAATTTCAACTGCCTTCTTAAGGTTAACCCAACCTAGCTGTCACTGGCGCATGATCATTCTCCCCCATAAATATATAAAAAAGCTGATATGGCTTAGTTCTGAAAGCTTTGCTTCACTTTGTATAATCAAAGTACTGCAGAAATACTAAACGTGAAGTTGAGCACCATCAGGGGAGAACAGCAGCGAGCCGTGAAGCAGAACAGGCTTCCAAGGGGAATTTAGAGGAGACCAATTTGTCTACCCTAAAACACGACAAATATGGCAGAATTAGGATCTGAAATCATGCAAAGAAAAAAAAAGAACTATGTGATGGGATCTCAAGCTTCTTTCCTAATGTCAAAACCAATGAACTACATGTAAAAGACAGAATGAGTAAAGGATTACGCGAGTCAGCCCTTTGAAGAATATCTGTAGATTAGCACTGAACGTGAGTTTGAAAACTTGTGCCTTAGGGGTTCTTAAAGATCTATGAGAACAACTACACTAAGCTCTTTTTTACCTACTAGCAAAATGCTAAGAAATAGTCAAAATGAGGAAGATACACATCATTTGTTCAAAGCAACGGACGTTAGATTTCTCTGAAAGGAAACCCTTCCAGAGTGTGGGGCCAGTAGGACACAGCAGTCCCACAGAAACACGTGCGTTGCCTTGCCCAGCTCCATTTGCAGGAGCTGACAAAATTGTATCTTGCAGAACGTCACCAGGAAGAAGATGTGACATGAACCAGAGAAGAGGTCAAGAGATGTAAATGCTTTAAAAGAGTTATAAAAAAAATTGCATAGGAGATAAAGTTACAATATGTTATATCAGTATCTTGATTTCAGATGTTGATGCTGTACACATCTTCATTTCTCTCTTGATTCAAGAGTACAGTATGCTGGCAAAATGTATTGCATCTAGAAGCAACACTTTATATATATCTTGCCACAAGATGTTTACATAACATATATATACACACAAGATGTTTATATAACATCTTATATATATAACCAAGATGTTGTATTAAAAAAAAAAACTACTACACTTCTCTGTCTTTGCAGTTATCAGGGCACCAACCGGGACCGCTTAACGCGGGCCTCGAGATGCGATACCAGCTTACTGTCTTCTTAAATCGATTTAATAACATCAGTAAACCCCCTCACAAATACCAAAGAACAGGGACTGTACCGATATGTTGTATTATGGTATCACCTAGAGGCCAAGCCAAGAACAAGGCCCGCTGTTTGGTGACACGCAACAAAGAGCCCGACCCCAGAAGGCTGCACAGAACATACGTTTTCTTACCTTCCTCAACTAAAAAGGGAATTAAGCACGAAAATCCTTCTATTTGCATATTTGTACCCTCCCACCCTTGTTCACACAAACCCGTCCCTCAGCTACAGCCCCCGCCCTCAAAGGGGGAAGGGGCGGCCGAAGGGGCAGCCGGTGCTCCCCGGGGTGAAGGCCCCGCACCCCGGGCCGGGAGAGGGCTCAGAGGGTCCCAGGCCCCTTCCAGCACCGCCCCGGGCCCACCGCCGGCGGGAGGCGCCTCAGCACCGCGCCGCCTCGCTGCCCAGCGGCCCGCAGGCCTAGCGGGGCAGCCCCGCGCCCCCTCGCCCAGCGGGACCGATGGGAGCGGGGCGGCCTTTCCTGCTCTGCCGGAGGCGGCCCGGCCGCCCGAGCTCCTGCCGCCGCCACCGCGGGGCCCCACGGCGGAGGCTGCGACGGCGCCGCCGTTAGAGGTGACGCCGCCATCTTCCCGCCGAGCCATTCAAACCCCAGCGCCGCCCCGCCCGGCGGAGGAGGCGCCGCCGCCCGACGGCCTCTCCGCCCCCGACTCCGTTCCCCGGGGCGGCGGGCCCGGCTACCGGCGGGGGAGCCGGGAACGGGAGAGCTCGGTTCCTCGGGGCAAGGCCCCCCGCTACCAGCGAGCGAAGCAGGAGCGGGGCCGGCTCCGTGTGCCCACAGCGAACCGGGTACAGGGTGGCAGGAGCGTGGGTTATTCGTGCTGTGCGGGTGAAAAACGGGTAATTAACGAAGCAACGGAAGGCAAGTCTGCTTCAGGAAAACAAGCAGGCTCACCTTGGCGAGCTGCTTCATCCTCGCGGAAAAACAGGCTGAAATGATAAACTGAGAACAGCAGGAAGGACAAACAGCCTCGCTTTCTGGTTTTAAGGGCTCAGCTCGCCGAGATAACCTCCTCCGATTCTAAAAGAGTAAGGACAGTTTCATCTCTCCTCCAGTGACCTGAACATCAGAAGCAGTTCTGTGGAAATTCCGCAGTACCCCAAAAATGCAAGTCTTTGTCCATCACTGGCAGGAGAAGTGCTAAGTAGCACAATATACAACAGAGGGGGGAAAACTAAGCCTTTTCTAACTTGCTTTTCATTTCAACTGAAGAAAACACACTCATCTTTCCAGAAATACTGACAACTAAGGGTGAGCATTCAAAGCGGTTCCAGTAGCATGAACACACGCAGTATTTCCTTCTGTCCACCAGGAGTGTATCTTTTATTTCGGGTAACACGCACACACGCTCTCTCAGAAATACCTTCTCTCCATGTTCTGTACATCTCTACAGAGAAACAGATCACAGCTTGGGAGGCTGACTCCACACAAAGCGGTGCCAGCGCTCATCAAACACCCACACAAACCCTCTCCAAGGCACCACATCCCTCAGCCTCACTTTACACAGGAACAGGCCATTAGGAAAACAGCTGGTGGTAAGAAGGACTATGGAGTCAGGTGTGGAAGCAACAGCTTTCAGTCCAGTTGTCTTCCCTCTCAACAGCCTAAAGCTTCCTTTGTCCAGCATAAGGAATTTCTGGCCCACGAAGACGAACACGTGTTCTCATTCCTGCCATTAAAGCAATCTCTTAGTGGAAATAAAATACTTTAAGAATACTGCTGTCATTTCAGACAATTCTATTTGAATCAGCGTAAGGAATGTCGAACAGAACAGTCAACATAGTTAAATCCTTTTTAAACCAAGAGGCTCAAAGAGCTTATTTTGTTGTTAGAACAAAGTTTACCAAACCAGATACTAATAGTAGGCTCTTCTGTGTTTCAAAGCCCAAGCAGCAGAAAAGTACAACACACATTTTTTCTAAAGCAATTCTTTTAATGAACTGACACTTAAAGGAAGTATCCATCTTGCCACTCTGTTGACCAAAGGTTAAATGCATTAAAGGGAAGAAGCACACTTAAATCCTTAGTTGAAGACTCCTTGCTGCAGAAAACAATTCCCACAGCAGACTAACCATTTCCTGCATTAGTATTGAAAAAATATTGAAAATATTTCAGTAAAGATTTCTATTTAGTAACAATATATAATTCTATTGCAGCAGAAAAAAGGACCAGAATAAGCACTGTTGATATTTGAAACCGTCACAGCATAGACATGTTTTACTTTAACATGTCTTTTAACTTTAACATTACCACAGCATAGACATGTTTTACTTTAACATGTAGTTTTACAACTGCAGCACAAAATCTATTAGTTCCCCATCACTTCACATCCAATGAAGTACACTTCATGTACTCCTTACAGCTTTGAAAAAGCTATTTAAAATATTAAAAGATATTTAAACCTCCATCTTACTCATGTTCTAAAAGGGAAATAACAGGTTTTTCTAGCTGAAAATTTTAATCCATTAAAAATAGTTTACAAAATTTGAGGATTGACTTACTTTACCAAAATAGGAAAAAGGGCTAACTAGCAACCAGTCGAAGAATTTGGTTCCGAACGTATGTGCACAACTGGTTCATCAAGTCTCTGTTCTCTCCTTCAACCCAGTGCATTTCTACTAATACATCATTTCCGTCTTTCTTCACGTTCATTAAGCACTTAAAGAGAAAACATCTATTAGTTTCTTTGGGACTTTGTTCTTTTGCAACTGTCACATTGCTGGCTTCCTCTGAAAGGCAAGGTTCCTCCTTTGCATTACTGGAACCTTTGCCAAGTGATGTTTCTGCCTGCTTTGCTTCCGTCTCCTCCTCCTTCACATGCTCGCTGTGTTCCTCTTTGACAGCAGATTCTTCCGTTAGCTCGTCACCTGTGGTCAAGTGGACATCCTCATCAGGTGCCACCAACCCCATTTCAGAGTCTTCAGTCTTAGGGTTTTCAGAGTCCGAATTGTTGCTCACACTCTTCTGGCTGGTTTTTTCCTCTTCCATTGCTTGCAAAGTATCTTCAGAAGCCCGAGGAAGTTCTCGTAACTGCCTTATTCTCTCTCGTTTCTTTCTCCTCAAATGAATCCAGGAGTTCTCAATGGCAGTGACAAACAGGCTGACTTCATCTTTTCCACATGGAACACGTTTATGCTGAACCTATTGCAGAAAACAGCAGAACTTCAGACTATCCTCTCACAGTTACGCTTAAAAGTAGAATGTTGTTTTGACATATGGTACTTACTACCATACCTTCAAATCAGTGAGGATCTTCTCTACCCAGGCTCTAACCACAGCAATAGCTTCTACAGCATCCCAGCCCATAGCTGCAGCTTTGACGGATAACTCTTTGACTGTAGAAGCCAAGACCATAAACGTAATTGGTTTTCGGGGTTTTTCTAATTTTCTTCTTTTAGAGGGAGGTGACTAGAAGAAGAAAGAAAAAAAAAATGACAAAGCTATGCAGTATTAGTGGGATGACATTTGTACTTAGAAGACTTGGGGATTAAGAGTATAATGTAAGCCACTAAACAGTCACTGAAATAGCCTGTATTTTATTTCACTTCACTCCAAAGAGTTTTAGATTAAAAAATAGCTAAGAGGATCATGCACTTTGTGCTAGCCTGATGGACAGAGGGAGTTTATCTTCAGTTGTTAGGCAAAAAACTTGATTGGTCCCTTCACAGCTCTCTGTGAGCTGAGAAAGTGCAACTGGTCTTGGGAATAGAAGTCAAGTGGCAATATCCACATATTAATCCAAGTTCACTGAAGGTTTGCTTGCATCTTCAGTAAAGCTGGTTATTGTCTATACACATCTTACAGTATATGTACATCTGAATCCAAAAAAGGCAACTGGCTCACATTAGTTAAGGTGAACAAGGTCCACTTACATTCACGTAGGCAAGACTGAGCTAGGTATGTTCGTGTCTATTTGGTAACAGAATTTATATGGTAAATCTAAACAAAGTTCTCAGAAGGAAGCTTCAAGTTCAAATCTAGCCCCAAATTTAGCGTATTTTTAATACTAAATTGCTATTTGAAGTATGTTACAAGTGACCTTTACTTTCACTGAAACCCACAGGAGGTTCATGCACAGGCTTCTTTTTTACTCCCTAAATATAGGTCATTTATAAATCACATGTAACTACTGGTAACAGACTGGCAGCCAGTTAAGAAATCCCCCAGTCCATCCAGTGTATCCAGCGTTCCAGTGTGAAGGAGAACAGTTTGTTTCACAGCAGTTATAGCTCATTAGGCCCTTCCTCAAATAAGAGGCACAGACAATCACAAGCAAACCAAAATTAAGCTACTTACAGGTACTTGTACATCATCATAGAAACTCCATGCCAGTGCCCATCTCATGGTGCGTCCTTGACAGAATTCAGTATAAGTAACTTTAGGAACCTATGCAAAGAAACAATATAAACAACATTATTTTATTGCACACATTTTCAAATTTAAAAAAATAATAAATGGAGATTCCTTCTGACATGGCTCACAGATGTCAGTGCCACTTGAAGTTGGTCAGTGCAAAGCCTGGTACCAGTGCCCAGGATTTCCCATCTCTGCCCTGCCATGTCTATACCCTTATTAGAGCTTCGAATTCGGCAACATCCAACATTACCCTTTTTGTGCAGCGATCCAGCACACCTACAGCATATACCTGCATTCTGATTCTGCAAAAAGCATATCCTTTCTCCTAGTCTGGAACCTGCTCCTGTTCTGCATTTCAATACTGAACCCATGGCTGTAGCAAAGGAACACAGAACAAAGACAATGAAGGGCCGGGAAGCCAACCCACTCGCTGTCTGCAGGTGGCAAAAACGTGCCCAGAAACACTTCTCTGTCTTTGCCCCAAAATATCAAGTCTGAACTTAGACTGCCTTTAAATATAAAACTCAGATCCAATGATAATGTTAACTTGTCTTTCCACACATGGATGCTGTAAGGCATTTATGTATGGTATGGAAAATGTGCTAAATACTAGCAAGGATAAATATCAACCATCCCACCGCATTCTGAATTATCAGCTCCAGACAATAAGCCCCAGCTCTGCAGAGAAAATAAAAATAAAAATCTTACTTCTGAGAAATGCCTTCAAGAAGAGAGAAGAAAAGGTGTCTCTATCCTAGAACTTTTCCTGCCTTTGTATTCCTAATTCTATCAATAAATATAGGAAATCTCAAGACAATTTTGAACAACGAGTGGACTTTTGGGAACATGTATGCTGCACCCTAACCTGCACCACAACACAGCCCGTGCTTGGTTACAATGAATATATTCCCAGCTCTATTACAACAAAGGTTACAAACTTGAACAAAACGAAATTGGCAATTTCAAGAAAAATACAAAAGGAAAACTCAGCTATTCTATGCCAGGTTTGCAAGGATTTCTCTCACTTTACTAAGACTGAGGTGCGACAGTTCAAGAATATGGAATAAAGTCGCTTGAAATTTGGTGCCTAGCTCAGCATCTGCTTTTGGCATTGAGCTTACAGAATCCCTATGGCCTGCAGTTCATCTTTCTGGGAATTGATATCACCATGCATTCTCCTTCCTTCACCTCTCCAGCACATAAAAGGACAGATCTCACAATCACCTTCTTTGTATGGAAGTTAGAGAAGACTACGCTTCCTCCAGAAAGCCATAAAAAACGTCCTTCGCGCAGCCTTCTTGCATGAGATAGTAGCACAAGGTTTGATTTTACTTGTGCCAGAATTGAACACAAACAAAAAAATACCATGCTTTAAAGATTACTACAATTTCATTTATCAACAAAATTGCTAGATTTCATGTTAGCTAAGAGGAAAGAGAGCTAGAACGTTTTTATTGGTTTGTTTTTTTTTTTACAATAGCCCTGTTAAGACTATTTTAAAGCAGAATGGACAAAGACACGCTTCTACACATGATAAAGGCAAACATTTGGAGACAGTAAGTGCTACCTATCTATCAGCTTTGAATCTACAATAATTAAATCTCAACTGCTTTCAGTGGTTCCCTAATAAGGAATTGAGGTTTCTTTCTGTAAATAAAAACCTCAGGCAAATAATTCAATAATCATTACCCACATGCATTGGAATATAGTATATATTGTGTAGAATATATACAGGACATACATGGACTATGTACAAACTCACCCCCTGGATTCGAAGTTCCTCTTTCAATGGTGCTAAACTGCATTTCTTCCCCAACATGCAACTGTACCATCTGCAAACAACACATTAAACAAAGCATTTTACAAATGCAGATCAACTGAAAATGGCAACTACCAGAAAAAAAACACTTGGATCAGAAACCTGCAAGAACAATAGGAGATTTAAAAACAAAACAACAAAATAATCACACTCTTAAAGTAGAGACTAGGACATAGTACATGAAATGGAACAGAAGGCCCAAAGACAGACTGGACAGGGAAAGCTTTTCCAGTTTTTATGAAATACATTAAATCTATTAATGAAACAGTGCCTAAACAACCAAGAATACTGTTTCAAAGAAAGAATCCTGTTTCAAAGAGTGAATTCAGTTGTGTGGAAAATGTTACCCCTTACAACAATCTTTTAAATTTCTCCACTTTCTTTGGAGAATGAATCAGAATAAAAAGGAATATTCAACTATTGACAAGAATTTATGCCTCAGAAGCAGACCTACTGACTACCATTTCTGCTCATTTGTAAGTTGTTATCCAGGTTACCACTAACGAATCCACATTTTACAAGGAAACCAACACGGGGCGGAGGGGGAGGGTGCTAAAGAAAAATTTATTTTCCCACTTCTGGTGGAGCTTATCCTTCCACTCAGCTCCTCACCTTCAATATCTCCAAATTTTACACCTCTGTTCTTCATCTAAATTACTATTCAAGCTCTACAACCCCATCTTCCATACTTTTTTGATGACTGGATCCAAAAAGGTTATTAATGAATAAAACTTATTGAAGTATAAAAATCGGAGTTCCCATTTATCAAAGGACAGTTTCTTCAAGACTATGCATCAAAATTGAAGGCAAGCACTTTAAATTGCTCACATATACAAATTAAATATACTGTAAACTAAAAAATTAAATAAAATAGTACCAAAGGGATTAAGGGACAATTATTTTAATTGACTTTGACTTCGTGCACAATGCAATCTACAGAATTTCACAAAGCAATACTTAAATGAAACCCCCAAATTTCTAGAAAACTAAACCACACACCTTTCCCAAAATTATAAAATACTGAACCTACAACTCCTAACTGAAGTGGGGATGGAGGTAAATAAGTCAAGATCATTTCCTGGCCCAAGGGAGTCTCTATCTACTAACAGTTCATTACTGGTAGAGCTGCCAAGCCTTATCTCTAACAAAGCACGAAACAGTATTTTAAGTAAACTGTTCTTTCTGTAACAGATTCTCCAAAGTAGTTTATTCAAAGCCATGAACTGAATCATTCCTATCCCCCAAACACACAGAGCTTATTTTTCCTAAATATGATACACAGTTAGCACGTGGGTATGTTCTATGCCTTACACTATCAGTTCACCCTCCTCTTTCCTAGAGGCGCTGCCAAGGGGAGCAATACAGGAATGACGCATTCTTCATAATTCCATGTCATCTTTTCAAGGCAAAGACTTCTATCCTTGAGAGCAACATCAGTCAGTTCTCTACTGTATTTGCCACTCCTTGCAAGGTCAAATAGCAACTTATCAAAGCAAGTTTTTCCTGGATCTACACACACCATGTGAAATCAGAAATGATATTGCTACTGTCATTTCCAGAAGTCATCACGGATGCATCCCCTGCCCCCACCTTACAGCACCAATTAAGTCCTCAACTGTATGCATGTGCTTTCCACTTCACAGTATTTTACACAGTACACTATATGCTCCTGTGGAAAACTCCACTGATGGAATAAAACCACTACATAGAAAGAATCTGTGCAAAGGATAACATTTTCCAGCTGTAAGTAGAAGAACATTTAAAATACATACATACATACCATTGCTTTCTCTCTGACTTGCCTCCCCTCACCCGTTGCATCACTGACTAAATTCAGAACAACTGTTTCAGCTTGTATTTAGTTTTGAAAAACCTCTACATTTTAGACACAAATAAGAGCATACAAAGCTAAAAGCCTGTGTAAATCAAATAACATTCTATGTACGAACTTTGACAGGAACACCAATCATTTTCCAGTGTCCTCACTGGCACAAACAAGATTGTGAAAAGTCTCAAAAGTTTAATTCTTCTGGCTTGTAACTACTTCTGAACATCAAAATCTCAACTTTATCACTCTGCCATACTATCTATCCCCTATTTATATTTTGTAAGATTTGGGGGGTGACAGAGAAAGGAAGGTCATTAAAAAAAAAAGAAACTCACAACAAAAATACCCCCACGATGTTTCAAGGTTTGCAAAATTGCAATCTTCTCAACTTTTTTTTTCCTTCAAAGCACTACAACATAGAAGCACTTCTAACAGAGCCAAGTGCAGTTTCGCTTTGTCGTGTTTTTTCCAAAAATTTGAGTATATTCTTCATTTTTTTCAGGCCCATAACTAGAAAACAAACATTCTGAAGAAAAATTTTGGTATTAGACAGATGAAGATGAGATTCCAATGCAATTCTCTGCTTAGAAGGGCCTAAAGAAAATAAAGCCAAAACACTTCTTGATTGTGAAAAAGGCAGGTTGTATTTCCTTTGCTTAGGGCACTGATGAAGCTGTGGTAATACACACATAAAGTTTTGACAGCTATATTTTAGAAGGATATTAAGAAAAAGAATCTTTCAGAAGAGCTAGAGGAATAATGTACAGCACTAGGGGAGCAAAAGTCAGGTAGTCAGAAAACCGAAGTGTGCCATCTGTTTATCTTGTTCAAAAGGCTACGATTTTTATTGCAGCTTATGTTCACTCAAGACAACATTCAGTACAACAGTGCCTTTTAGTAGACAAAGCTGCAAGTTACCAAAATTTAGTCAGGAAAAGACAGAAATGTTTAGGTAATAAGCAGATAACTAGGCAATGTCATAAATCCTCCCCCATCCCAGAAGCCTTCAAGAATCAACCCTGACTGTCTTTAGCAACTCTGTGTGCTAATTTAGCTACAAGGGTCACTCACACAGGCTTTTTTTGCCTTCTGCCATTAAATATCTCAAACAGTAATTGTTTGATGTTCAGAAATAACTAATTTTACATTAACTGAGACTAATTACGGATGCGTATGTATCATTAAACAAATCAAACAGATACCACTGGACCACAGCTACATTCCTTACTTAAAATATGATTTTCGCATGATTTCCATCAAAGGAGCAGATAAAAGGTGGTCAGGTTTTTTTAACTGCAACAAAGCACTTACCGTAACCTCTTTTTAAGTTGTAGACTATCATGAATAATTCTTTTGACAAATTCTAGTTCTCCCCCCTCAGCCATGATTTCTGTAATCCCTCCTGTATTTACAGAACTGGGAGGGGGACGCCGTGGATTTCGAGAATTTACTCCCTGGATAAAAAAAACCCAACATTTGAGATGAGAATTTAATGAAATGTGAGGCTGCTTTGTACACTCCTTCCTGACTCATTCTTTCATGGGTAGCAAGCATCACCACCACTAGTTATCCTCTTCCCATCAGAACCATAGACAATAGACAAAGATATGTTCAAAGCACTGAGTGAATTCCCTACAATCTCAAACCTAGGTTAAGTTACTTGTCACAAGTGGGTATCCTGCTAATATGAAATATGTGGTTCTAAGACATGCTAGTTACATGCATCTACACAATGACAATCTGTAGTGTTTAATTTCAACACTTAAATCTTTTTTCTACTGACTTGTATTACAGAGTTAAGTTTCTGACTATACTCAGCAGGTATTGCAAGAACTGTTGCGAGCTGTATGATGCTGCCTAAATCACTAAGGAAACGAAAAACACAGACAGGCGCAATGCCAGAAACTAATCCCTCTGTTATGCCATGGGCAATTGATTTCAGATTTATTAGTGGTCTGCTTTCCAAACTAATTACAACTTTCATGAGTAAGGACTCACGAAAAAATTCTATAGGTCATCCTCCACTTTAGGAAGGGTAACAGTTAAATTTTACAAAACTCCTTTGGAGCAGGGGGGTGAAGGAGGAAGACTTAAATGCTATTTCATCATGATTTGGGATTTTCCACTCAACTTTCCCCAAGGGAAGAAGTTAAATTGATGCTACTCTCCCACACACTGAATACCAAAGTACATGCAACATTTAGCTTGTTAACTTACCTTTGCTTCCAATTGGTTGGCAAAAAAGGGAGGGTTGCACATACAGAAATCATAAACGATCTCAGATTCTTCTTTCAGTGCATCCATTAGAAGAGTCTTCTGTGGTACCTTAACCACTAACAGAAAACAGGAATTTGGTCAGTAAGGAATTTCATATTTTACCCGGTATGCCATTTATGGTTCAGTGTTTCTTGAAACAATGCACTGTATAAAAACTATACTTTCTAAACAATATTTTTTACAAAAAAAATGTGACAAGTATCAGCATACAAATAAAGACTTGAGGTTAAAGGTTAGCATACAAGCTGTTTGTACGTTTATACACAGTAGTAGAATTAGAGGAGTCTGTTTAAAACAACAGGAACTTCTTGAGTTATACCGAGTTCTCTGATACAACTACAAATACGCTTTAAGCCCTTCCAAAAATTAACACAAGTGTCAGTTGTTTATCCTACAGGCTCCTCAGAGATAAAGAAATCCCAGTCTAAACATATTTTTGGTTTTTTTGTTTTTTTTTTTCAGATACGGAATTCTAGAATGGTACTCAAGGAAATGTACTGCTTGATCTTCCTAGAGTGTAGAGCTAAGAAAGAGAAAGACTAAGATTAAACTATCTTCACTGAAGTTACACAGCATCAAGATTAGCTTTACATCTAATTTTATAATAAAACAGAATTACTGTGTTAGCAATATTACTTCCTGCACAGGAACTGTAGCCTTCTATGATTTGGAAAAATCACAACAAAAGAAAAATATTATAGTTCCTTTCTGGACAAATCTGCCTACTGCAGTCCACCAATTTATTATTACTCATCACAAGGACGAAGGTAAACGCCTCCATGTAGACCTCTACTGTCTTTCCCCAAAGGCTCCATAATTCCCTTGGAAATTGTGGTCAAGTCTGGTCACACATCTTCTGAAGACCTCAGGAACTCCAGCCCAAGGAGCAGGAATTTAAACACAGATGAAGTTCAGTTAAAGCATTATTACAAGCAGGATTTCTTGCAGACTTTACCAGTCCTGCAACTCACGGATAATGCACATTGAACAAAGACATTTAGAACTAAGGCAGAAGGCATGCCTCTCTTCCTAACATTTACCACCACAATTTATCATCATCTTAAGAATACAACATTGTTAGGGTAGCAATTACCAAAGTTCAGGTTATAGATAGCAAGAATAATACCTAGAACAACTGAGCATGTATTTGGCAGGTATACAGATTCTAATGTGCCACTGAACATGGGAAAAATACATCACAATGTCTGTATGCTACTAAATACCTTACTACATCGTACCTTTTATGAGATCAGACAGGTTATTCTGTTCCACATTCTTCTTGGCGTAATTGAAGCACATGTCATCCACCTCTGTTGCAAGAAAATACCAGCCATTCAAAGTTGCTCCAAGTAATGGGTATATGCAAGAGGCCCCTGTCCCTGCAGAAGTGAAAAGCCATGAGAAAGGCAAAGTAAGTCTCTGGTGTTAAACACAGTGGGGCTGTTAACTATGTACTTTATACCACAAAAAGAACTAATTTCAAGAAAAAGTTGATTATTGTTCATCTACTACTCAGCTCTTTAATGAACTTTATTTTCTTAATTTGAAATACAGCATTATCAAATATGCGGTTTTTAATAAAATAATTTAATACTCTAGAATAAAATTTCTAATAAATGATAAAGTATTTTTTCTTCTATATGACAGTGATTCATTTATATAGTGAAAGCCAAATATATTCTGATTTTACTAAAAAAAAAAAAAAAAAAAAACACCAAAACCCACAAATATATCTATCTTTATTTTTTTATTACCTACCACACGTAATTTAATTGGAGGCAAACAGCAACAAAAATCAAACACGTTTCTAACAATTCTGTTCCATCAGACTGTCTTTCCCTTATACGAAAACACTTAGAGAGGTGCCAATTAAGATATCTAAAAAGACAGCCAGACAGATAAAAACTTGGTAACAAGGAGAAGTACATGCTAGCACAAAATTACTCTCTCATAATTATGGCATATCTAGGCAAAATTACCAATGACAGTCAAATTGAGGATTAAAGGGAACAGACACAAGGGAAAGATATCCCACCACCACAAAACTTGAGCTCAGAGATATATTGAGAGTTTACTGTTATATTGACTGATTGAAACATAAATAACAACGTCTGTCAGTATGCAAAAGCGTGTGGTTATTTCCAGCATTCCTGTAATATTTTTTCTTGGGTGACTTACAGTTTTGACAGAGTTGGAACATCAATGCTCATTGCAAACCCCAACTGAAGATTTTTCAATATTTGGAGGACATAAAGGATCTGTCTCTTCTGCCTACCCACCTACCATGATGAAGTTCATAGAAACTGTTTTCAAAAATGTAACCTACTATCAAATGCGTAGAAGCTGGCTAACCAGTTTAAAAGGTATGAAAGGGAAGCAGCTGTGCACACCAAGTGATGATATAAACCTTGTATCAATCACAAATCCAGCTAAAAATGCAAGTCAGTAAATTTCAGAAGATCAAAAATTCCATTTAAAAATCATGCTAGCAAACACCATGAAAACAGTAATGAAAAAACATGATAACTCAAATTAATGAATCCAAGCTTTAAAGCCAGTGAAGTTTTAATGTTAAGTATTAAAACACAAGTTAGAAAGAAAATTCCAGCTTCTATTTCATTATGAGCTTACTTTAGCACAAAACATTCTTCAAAAACAAACCTTTGAAATCATAAAGGAAGTTTCTATTGCCAAAAATAAAAGATGTGAACTAAACCCAAACGTACTATCACAGATGTACCATTGCCTTTTAAATAATTCATAAAGAACCACCAAAAATTTGGAATCCATATACGGATTTTATTATCTGTATGTGAAATATAGTTTCTTACTCCTACAAAGTTTGCCTTTTTTTTTTATTTCTAATGAAAATCAGATTATGTGCAACAGTGTACATCTTATAAATTCACATCTGTACTGAATAACTGTTTACCTTAATGTACTGCTTAATCCAGATATTGTCGAGATTATCCAATAATCCAGATACTGAAACAGAGCAAGCTGCAATGCTCCTAGAGTTGTGCACTGGAGAGTATCATCCATCTGTGGATGCTTAGTCCAGTTTAAGACACGTTTTGTTTTCAACAACCTACAGGAAATCTTTGACCACCTACAACCACAAGACAGCTTTGCAATATTTCCCTCAGTTACTAATTAGCCTCTTCCATAATATAGCTCATGAAAATACCTGCACGGAAAAAAAACCACCCCAACATAATCTAATTTTAAAAAAGACAGATCATGCATCTGTCAAATATACCTGCAATCACAGAAGAAATTTTATTAAGAGGGATGCTAGAAAATATTGCAATGCAACTCACAACTCTCTTGCATAGATCTCCCAAAGCAAAATTGACAACTAATATAATTCACTAGTGAGAAGACTGAGAAAAAAATGCAAAACTTCGTGTTTCCCTATGGATGCATACAAACTTCATCAGCTAGTTTCACTGACAGTAAACAACAAATTGAACGCTTTGCCTTTCCAAGTACCTATGTCAATGCCTCGCCTCAGGACGTGCTTCTCAGCAGCATCCTGATGACCGATGAGATCCTCCACCCAGTGGATATAGTTCAGCCTCAAGGGAACGGTAGGAATAAGCCTTTCCACGGGGATGTCGATCGTCAGCCCAAAATCCTCCTTCAGCAGGGTACACGTCAGGGCCCTCACTGCCTCGGGGTCCTTGAAATTCAGGCTGAAAGGTACAAGCAGCGGTTACGGGGTGACAACGCCCCGGGGGCGGACACACACAAACAGGGCGGTCGGGAGCCGCTTCAACGCAACCCCGGGACGCGGCCCGGGCCTATCCCGCCCGCTCCCCCTCAGGACGCGGCCCGTCCCGCCGCTCCGCCAACAGCCTCTGGGCGGGCCCTACCTCACCCTGCCCGCCAGGGTGGTCTGCACATGCTGCTGGAACTCGGGGTACTTGGCCGCCAGGTAGGCGAAGTCGGGCGGCTTGTCCTTGTAGCGGTTGCGGGCGTGCATGGACTTGTTGAGGGCCATGGCGGCGGCGGCGGGAGGTTAGAACCGCGGAGGGGGAAAGGGGAGCCGCCGGTAGCGCGGGGCGGACGAACGGCCTTCCCGCCGCCGCCGCCACAGACGGAGCTCCCGGCGTGCACCGCGGCCCCCTTGGGGCGTACCAAGGCGCGGCGGGCCGGGGGGGGGGTATCTCGCTCAGACCATCGCCCACCAGGGGGAGAGGAGGAAGACTCCGCTTCCACAGTCCCGCGTCTCGCCTGCCCCAAGTCACCTCCCTTAGCTCGGGGGGAGCTTTAAACGTTGTCCGAAACGCCTCATCGTCGCGGGTTTCTAATTAATTTGGTGTATGAGGTCGCTGGCAACGAAGCGGCAGGCGGCGGCCTAAGGGCTGGGCCTGCTCCTGGCTTATCTTGCGAGGTGAACTTTCAGGTTTAATTTTAAATGATAAATAAAACCTAAACAAACAAACACAAACCCCAACAAAATAAACACCAAACCCCAAACCACTTCCTTAAATGTCACAGCTGGAAAGGATTTTCTGATGACTTCCCCCACTTCAGGCAGTTTCCCAGCTGGAGTCATTATTACACTGCTGTGGTTGTTGAACACAAATTAGGAAATAAATACAAAGTGGATTACAATGAGCTTTGTACTGTCTCCTTTGATCTTTTTTTTTTTTAATAAAAAAACCAACAGCCTCAATTAAAATATTTTGTAGGTGTAGCAAAATAAAGCCTAGGAATGAACTGGGAATGGAAACTGAATTCAGTTCCTGGTTTTAGGGGGGGGGGGGGCGGGGGGGGGGGTATCTCGCTCAGACCATCGCCCACCAGGGGGAGAGGAGGAAGACTCCGCTTCCACAGTCCCGCGTCTCGCCTGCCCCAAGTCACCTCCCTTAGCTCGGGGGGAGCTTTAAACGTTGTCCGAAACGCCTCATCGTCGCGGGTTTCTAATTAATTTGGTGTATGAGGTCGCTGGCAACGAAGCGGCAGGCGGCGGCCTAAGGGCTGGGCCTGCTCCTGGCTTATCTTGCGAGGTGAACTTTCAGGTTTAATTTTAAATGATAAATAAAACCTAAACAAACAAACACAAACCCCAACAAAATAAACACCAAACCCCAAACCACTTCCTTAAATGTCACAGCTGGAAAGGATTTTCTGATGACTTCCCCCACTTCAGGCAGTTTCCCAGCTGGAGTCATTATTACACTGCTGTGGTTGTTGAACACAAATTAGGAAATAAATACAAAGTGGATTACAATGAGCTTTGTACTGTCTCCTTTGATCTTTTTTTTTTTAAATAAAAAAACCAACAGCCTCAATTAAAATATTTTGTAGGTGTAGCAAAATAAAGCCTAGGAATGAACTGGGAATGGAAACTTTCAAGTTTTCTCATCGGCAGAGTAGGGACAGTCCTCACTGCCTTAGCACGGAGCTGTGGGTCCTCAGACAATAACATGCTTCTCTAAGATTAATATTATTCTTTTCTTTAAGGATGTTTTCCTCTTTAAAAAAACAAATAGAAATCAGAATGACTCACAGAGTGTTGTTTAAAAATTCACTTTATATATGCTAGCGTCCCACAGAATCACAGGATGATACGGGGTTGGAAGGGACCTCTGGAGAACATCTAGTCCAACCCCCCTGCCAAAGCAGGTCCATCTCGAGCAGGTTGCACAGGCACCTGTTCAGGCGGGTTTTGAATGTCTCCAGAGAAGGAGACTCCAGCACCTCTCTGGGCAGCCTGTTCCAGGGCTCTGCCACCCTCAAAGTAAAGAAGCTCCTCCTCATGTTTAGATGGAACTTCTTATGGTCAAGTTTGTGCCCATTTCCTCTTGGTCCTATCCCTGGGCACCACTGAAAAAAGACTGGTCCCATCCTCTTGACACCCACCCTTTAAGTATTTATAGGCATTGATCAGGTCTCCCCTCAGCATTCTCTTCTCCAGACTAAAAAGACCCAAGTCTCTCAATCTTTCCTCGTAAGAGATGCTCCAGGCCCCTATTATCCCCTTTTACTCTTGAACATCTGAGAAGACCTGCAACTGGCTTTAATTTCAGTCCTACTTCCTGCCCTTGGCCAGCTTCCTGTGACTTAAGGGCAGCTAAGCTTTGCATACAAAAGTTGATAAAACTTGATCTTTTAAAAAAAATTCCATGAGACCATCAAGCCGCCCACTCCTGCAGCCCACTCCTGCCACTTCTGGAAGTCATTCCCCTTTCTTTGTCCTCACCCACAGTCACAGAAGTTGATATGAACCAAACTAGAATGGAGGCAGAGGTAAAAATACAAATTTTAATTCAGAGTATTTAGTGTATTTACAATAGAAAGTTTCTCTCTGGTCAAGGGAGACTCAAAAAAAAAAAAAAAACCAAGAAACAGTCCACGTTACAAATGTGTGGACAACCTGCACCTGATGCAGGCTAATTGATTTTTGCTACTTCTACTTCACCCAGGGTAATACCCATGAGAAAGTGGCGGGGAGAGCCTGGGGATGGTACCGAGTCGCTCTCACACCCAGGTAGCAATCACAGAATGCAGTCCAGGAAGTAGTGTGAAGTTATTCAGCAGTTACTAAAAATATATATTTATATATATGTACACATACACAGTCCCGTTTGCAGTTAGATCAGATTCAGGGAATTGTTGAGAGATTTACAAGCAGGTAGACACAAGCCTACCGACCTGTGTGCAAGCACAGATTTGCAGAAGGGCTCACACCACGAGGTACACGGGTACCTTCCCAGCTGGACAGACATGTGCATTCCTTCCCACTCTGCACCTGGACAAACACACAGGCAGGTGTTCTGTTAATGCTATTTTACATAGGTTTTAGGTTCAGGGAAAAAAAAAAAAAGAGAAAAAAGCACCAACCCTCTCATCTGACTCACTAGCTCAGAATCCTTATTCCTCTTGAATAAAGAGGGGGAAACGGGGGTGCGGAAAGGATAACATCCTCCTGTTTCTCACAGAGACACCACTTTTGAAGCTCCCTGACTCTTTTGCCACAGCAATAACTCGTTGATACCGAAAGAGGGCAATCCTCTCCTGCTCCCAGGAACGGGCAGAGCCTCCCACCACTTCCCTTGAGTCAGATGTAGCAATCAAAAGGCTGCAATGTGAGCCAGTTCAACGCTCTGATCTTGCAAAAAAAAAAAAAAAAAGAAAAAAAACCAAACAGATGTGCAAAAAGCAAGCGAGTACTTTACCGTCTGAACAACCAGCTTAACCAAGTCACCCTACAGGTTTACCCACCACATAGTGGGTCGAGCACCACCTGTTTCAGCAAGAACTTGCCCATAGAAGTAGCTGAGCTATCAAGTCACTCTGAGCTCCTGTTTTTATCTTTGTCAGAGTCCACACACCACTTCCTTTATGAGGTGCTTTCCCTCCTCAGGAAAGGAGTTGTTGCAGAAGCCTGTCTTGGCTTAAAGGTGTTGAACTACATGGTGGTTGAGAAGCAAACTTCAGCCTTCCTCCAGCATCATCTGCTGCTGTCTCCAACAAACCCAGGTGAGGAATGTTACAAAGATAGGGAGGTGTGGGAAAAGGAAGGCAGGAAAGGAAGGAAGAAATAATCCTCTTTTAAAAGTCATAACTAGGGGAACTAAAGCAGAAATAGATTAAAGGTGGCTGTGGAGGCTGCAAGGTTGAGGAGAGTTCTGGTTTAGCAAAGCCTCTTGAATAGCTTCACTGCAGCCACTCAGCTCCATCTGGTTGAGAACACAGCTGATGTGCTCCACAGTTGCACCATGGCCCATCCGCAGTTTCCACAGTCTAAGCATTTCATACTGGGCATCTCGCAAACGCCGATGCTCCATCTCAATTCGTTCCAGATCAAAGTCACTCAGACCCAGCCGCCTCACAAACTCTTTCCACCGTGATGGCGGTACATGATCTACCACAGTGTAGAGAATAGCAGGGTCTGTGAAAAGAGAAGAAATAAAGTTTGAGAAACAGGATTGTGTAGCCTCAAGGAGAATGTGAATAATCCAGGGCTGAATGGTGCCTTGGGATCATGCATTGCCCCCTCCTGTTCAGGTCTTCTACAGGGTAGTCACACAGACTTGTGTGATGTCCGGACTTGCTCTTAACTCTCAAAAAGCAATGGGATGCTTCCACATGCTCTTGTGTAAAGTTATGAGCTGAGATGAGCACACATGCTTAGGGCCTTGCTGCTACACATTCCTGCCCAAAGAATGCTCTGAATCACCATCCCAGAGGCGTTAAGACTGACATGTCATCGTATATGACAATCCATTTTGCTGGTAGGGAAAAGGGACAACAGAAAGACCTCATGTAAATATTTAACCTATGCAGGCTCACAGGCTCTGGTCTGGCCTTTGCACTGTGCCATGCATGAAGCACACACACAGGTCCGGGTAAGGTCTGTCCAACATCCTCCTAGCTGCATCTGCTTAGTCATGTTCTCATTTGCCTGGGGAAGGAGGGAAGTATCGGAGAGTTTCACTTACTGTCTGGAAGCTGTGTCTTCCTGGCAGGTCTGACACAGTCTGGTAATTCATGTGAACTTTGCAGCAGGGGTGCAGGTGGTGGTGGTGCTGCATTCACTGACAATTCTGTTTCCTTCTGGGACTCAGGAAGAAGGATGGAAATTTCACTTCTTTTCACCTCAACCTGAAAGACACTTTTTCTTAGTCTAGAATCACCCGCAGCAGCACAATACCTTCCTGCAAGGAACCACTAGCTTTATATACTAAAATTTATCCAAGATAGGTGGGGAGCAGGTACTGAGGTTTTAAATCTTCCTATATGCCTTGTTTGAGCAGAAGGCACCAAACATTTCATTCCAGTAGAACCCAAGGAGTTTTGGCATCAAAAAACAGTAGTCTGGAAAAAACGTGTCTTTACAAAATCAAGTAAGGCTGGGGCCCAAAATCACCACCATTCTAGAAGCTTCACACACGTCCTTTCCCATCAGCCTTCTCCGCAAGGCTGTGGAAACCCCACCTCGACTACTGCTTGGGCTCTCTTAATTGCAGAACAACACTGGACCTGAGAGAACACTATGAAACAACACTGAGAGGCTTGTGGGGTCAAGATCTGAAGTGAAGTAAAATCAGTTAAATCCTCCAAGCTTGGGGTATCTAAGGGGGAAAAGGGATTTAGGACCAGCTATCTGAAAAAAAAAGAAAAAAAAATGCATCCAGAAAGAAAAAAGCAAAAACCCAGGATTTTTAAAAGCACCCTCTAGAAGAGGGGAAGTAAAATGTTAATGGCTTCACTCTCTACAGGAAAAGACTTCAGAATTAAACAGCCCTATTACTCAGCTCATTTGAAAATACAAAGCTTGAGAACAGCCCATGGGGAAAAATGTTACTCTGGATCCTAGACAGTTTGGATTCCAGACTAACATAGTTGAAAGGGGAAAAAAAACTCTTATACCCAACATCTTGCTCACCTCCGATACTGGCTCCTTGGTTGTCTGCGGCAAAGAAACTTTAGAGAAAAAGAAAAAAAGCAAAAATTATTTTCACTTCCTCTCTTCCCAGAGAAAACAGGAAAGCAGCTATTCGCAATCCTACCCTCAAAAAGGTTTTATAGCAAAATGCACATCTCCCAGCAATAAGCTCACGTGCAATTCCAGTCACAGCTATGGGCACAGATGCAGTCACAAGAACTGCAACAATAAGCTTAGCTGTTGAGTTCCTCACGTTCCTCTGGCCTTGCAGCAAAGCAGAGTAATTTTTCCCTCACATGTGTGCGCATACACACACATAGAAAATGATGTCTGTCCCAATTACTATCACTGCTAATTAATATACGCTGCTGTACTCACCACAGGAGTAGAAAGATGATGCTATACCATTTTTTTGGACGAGCTTCACTACTTTATTTACAATGTAGAGGATAGAGATAACTCCAAATATTGCAACGATGATGCCAAGGACAAGGCTCCCATCTGGACAAAAGGGAGAGGGCAAATGAGTGACTGAGAAAGGAAGAGATTAAGTGCAAGAGGAAGAACAACAAGTGAAGACATACAAATGGTAGGGAGAATAATGGTTTGAGAGTGGAGAAAATAACACTTGACAAAAGCGTTAACAGAACAGAAGACCACACTGAAAAGATTCCACTGTCCCTCAGTTCCCCCAGTACTCACTCAGCCCAGATGAAGTCGGTGAGGTAGTCACTGGGCTATGACACTGCAGGCATTCTTCTTCACTGCAGCTGTACAAGAAAATCAGAGAGGTGAGTGTGCATGAAATAAAACACCACCCATTTGCAACAATCCTAAGTCACAGAGAAGTCAAGATGGGCCTGCAAAGCAGAGCAATGCAGTGTGGCTAGTGACCTTGGGTTCTTAGTGGGCTGATGCCTACATGGAGAAGACTGGGGGTGGCAGAGGGAAAGACCCGATTGCCCCAGAAAAGCAGAATGTTGTAAAGTTACTTCAAGATGGAGAGCCTTGAGAAAAATTTCCTCCTCCTGTGGGGCTTGGGTCTGCTGTCTCTCCTACTCAGTGGAGGGGCATATAGAGGTAAAAAAGCTCACCTGTTGCAAGACTTGCAAACATTATTAAGTGCCAGGAAGAATCCAGGCTTACACCTGCAAATTGTGTCTCTGTTCTTTGAACCTGCAATAAAGAAAAGAAGAAACTGTAGCCATAACCTAGACAGAGAAGAAAACAAAAGGAGAAAAATCCACTCTAAAATGGGTGGGAGATTATCCTTCTTTGAGCCTGGAGAAATGCTACTAAAGAAGCAAAAGAGGATTTGGTCTATGTTTAGGACAGGGTTCGGGGAGGATAAAAATAATAAAAAGTAAGGGTCCACTGTACTGGTAGGTTGGGGACCTCTGTAAAGGCTCGGGAAGGGACTAAAATTACAGTGCAGCTGAAATTGGTCTAATGAATAATGACAGCTCCAGCACAAAAGCGGGGAAAGTCACTCAAGTTCAAGCATGACCGGAAGGAGAAATCACATTAGTCAGGCAAAGATGAGGGAGAAGTGGTCCCTGAGCAGCTGGGACTGGTGAGGAAGTCAGTTCAGGGCAGGGAGAATCACTTCAAGCCATGGGACACATATCCACTCTTGTTACCTGGTGTGCCGTGAGTGGAAGGGGTAAGAAATGAAAGAGCTACTGCAGCTGAGCAAGTCACCGTATGGAAACTGAGTAAAACAGGTGTGGGGAGGAGCAGACCAGAGTAATGGAGGAAGGGATAAAGTTGCATGAGTGAAGGAAAAAGGTACAAGAACAAGCAGTATGCATTCTTGTGGCAAGCGAGGGAGAGGACCAACGGTTCTACTTCAGCCAAAAGGGAAGGAAATTGCTTAAGGCCAGCATACGATGATGACCCTTGAGGATAGGTGTAAGCATGGACACTGTGACAGAGGAAGATTACTGAGGCCCACAGGGAACACATTAACCAGTGAGACAGCAAACCTCACACTAGGCAGGGTAAGAGACACAGGAGAGGGATCAGGAGAAGCAGAACTTGCAGAGAGGAGGGGAAAGCTTTAGGACAACAAAAGAAGGAGCATTTAACGGACACGAACAGAATTAAACTACAGCACAAAGTGGAGGGCGGTATGCAGCATTTGGTTAAGATCTCTGATTCCTGACTGGAGATGAGGCAGCTTGGGACAGCTAACATGGGTACTTCCAGACACCTGTACCATCCCCAGGTCATACCCAATGCCACTGGGTACTGTTCAGCATTACCTGAGCAGCTCTTGACTTTAAAACACTGCACAGTACGCTGTGGTGGTTCAGCAACCAACTGACAAGCAGTTCATCTGGGCACTAGGACCAGTGGTATTTTCAGCCATTGTACTCAAAGTGCTTCCAGCAGTTGGTGAGAGAAATGCAAGAGCATCAGGAGAAATATCCACACAATGACAAAAAAAAGGAAGGTAAGGGGGAAATCTCCTCTAGAGCATAAAGACCTTGCTTCAGCACATGTAAGGCAGAGATACCAAAATTAAGTAGAAAATATCTCCTCATAACAGCCAAAACTGAGAAACTATTCAAGGACAAAAGGAAGGTAGAAACTGTGACAGAAAACTGGGATTGATGCCAAAACAGGCAACAAATGACAGTCTTTCTGGGGAAAAGAGGTAGGGAAAACCAAGAGTTGTTCCAAAACTACAACCACTTCAGGGCAAGGCGCTGCAGCTTGTTAGAAAGCCAACAGAAGGCTAGGGCTGTTAATGTCTACCCTAGGACAGTATGTCCATACCGGAGCCATATTCATGCCATACTCACAGTTGGCAATAATCCCATTGGCACATGAGCTACAGTTCCTGCACTTGAAGTGATCCTGCTGGCCAATCTGATATTGATTCTTCCGACAGCCGCATACGGTATCTTGCTTTGGGGTGCAGGGGCTCTCTACTATCTGCTGGAATTCTGAGAAAAGAAAGGAGAAATGATTATTCCACCCTCTTCCTTCACCTTCAGCCGAGAGCACTGTTATGATGACAGGCGTTGCTATCCCCTAACTTTCCCAGAAGAAGGACAAAATGGCCCACAAACTGTGTCTCAGACTGCAGTAATTTAGTAACCCTTATTCCTGCTGTCCCCAGTCCCTTCCCGTACACTGTCCTTCTGCCCATTCAATTGCTTACCATTCCAAGCTTCCTCTCCTCACTCATTTTGCCACCCCCTCTAGCCCCTCACCCACCACTACCACCCATTTTCCTCAGGTCCTATAGATAACTCACCTGTACGGCAATGTTTACACGCGAAGCACTTAGGCATGGTGTTATCAACAGCTGTGAACGTGCCATTAGCACATGGAGGACAGACAGGTGCCTGGTCAGGCCGCTCGCAGTCTTTTTCCTTGTAGGTACCTGCAAGAAAATCACGTTAACAGAGCTCTGAGAGGAAGGCAAACACGCTGCCCTAGGGAGGATGGGAGTCACTGATTCCTCAGAGAAACCCTGGAGCTGATAGTGTAAGGACCAAGTATGCTTCCTCTCACCAGTGTGAAGGACACTGACAGTCCAAAAGAAAAGGCAAGGAATAAGAGTTTATCTGGGTAGGGGTAGGTATCAAGGAAAGGGATCACTGGTGTAGCTGTAGGACAGAGACAGTTTGACAGTGTAGGACAGGGAAATACCTCTAAGGTACAGGTCTACCAATGTACTTATTTTACATACCTGCATGGCACCTCATGCAGCAGTGGGTCTTTCTGGGATGTAGATATTGTCCTAGTGGACACTGCAGCTGCCTCTTTTCTCTCCTCAAGGGGCTAGAGGGGTCTCCTCCATCCAAAGCTACCCGATGGGCTTGCGGTGTATATGGCACCGGAGCAATTTCTACAGATTCCTTTGTCAACACGCAGACAAATGTTAGGATAAACTGTAAATACAGAGGGAGAGAGAGAGGGAAAGAAAGAGGAAGAGAAACAAGGTGAGAAAACATATACCCTTGCAAACTTCCCATCTGACTTCAGCACTTACAATTAAATCTTATTATAACAGATTTAATTCAATAAACTTGACTAACTCTGATATCAGGATCCCCCACTGACAGAAGTGTGGGGGTAAATTATTTACAAAAAGAAAAAAACCAAACCAATAAACCCATGCCTGTCATCTGTGTTATTAATATGCCATATTATATACCATGTCTCTATGACAAATTGGTTGTATATAAAGCAAATACTTTTCATGATGTGCAATTTATAGATAGAATGCTATTGCAAGAAAGTTACTCAAGAGCAAAGGAATGTTTCTATTAAGGAAGGCAGTAAGACTGCCCATCTAGAAACAGTTCCAGAGAAGAGAATGCATCCACTACTTGCAGTTCAGCTGAATAAATGAACCAGACGGGAAGTCTGGAATAAGAATGCAGAGGAGGATTTCACTGCATGCAAAGTACAGAAAAGCTTCCAACACTCCTCCTGAGCAAGCCAGCCCTAGAAACATGGGAAAGTTAGGTTTTCAACTTCTCCCCCTGAAAAAAGTATATTCTTCCTTTTAAACTGCAGCTGTTAACACTCAGTCTGAACAATATGCCAAAAAAATGTGCACTTTTTAAAATTCCTTTAAGATTTATTCGGTGGTTTTTTTAAAAATTTTTAAGATTACTGTTGTCAAAAAATTTAAGAGAAATATTAAGATTAGCATGACTGCGGTCCCCCCCAAGAAGGTACAGCAGAACAAAGGGTTAAAAGAACAGCCTGAAGGACACCAGTGCCTGGATATTGTTTTCAGGACGCTATTCCCAGCAGTGAAATTGAGAAATGTACTGCTTATGTCATGGCCAAAAGGTCAAAACTCTGGTAAGACCACAGCATAGATGATCATCAGCAAAATACCCTGCACCAGGAGGGTGGTAGCAAGATTGCAGCAATCACCAGCACAATTCCTTTGCCCGTTGGCTCGACAGAAAAATAGACCCTATGCATGTATTTCAAGCATGCATTCAGACAAGGAAAAAAGCATACAATAACAAAAAGGTTAAAAAAATATTAAAAAGCAGAACTGGGAAACAACTTGACCCAAGATTTATGCAGCCTAAAGTCAGCAAGTTTCTGCAGCAAAGGCCCATCCCCTCCCAGCCAACGGCTCCTGAAGGGCATGATGGACTTGTCTAAAAACTAGTTTGTAGTGCCATGAAGAACCCCAGCAGCACAATGAAAACTTGACAGGGAGTGTCCCTTGTTGTCTGTGTTGCACCCAGTGATTCTGGCCACATCATCTGGAAATACATGTGTTGGTGCTTCTGAGTATGTCACCGACAGTGTGTGCCAATGTAGTCTATGCATCAGATTGTGTGACTGCATGAAAATCAACTCTTTTTTTTTTTTTTTTTT